TTATTTTTATAATATTTACATATAATTTAAACTAACTAATTTCTTTATTTAAAAAATTATTAAATAATATAGCTCGTAAGTTATTTATTTAATTCTATTATTACTTATTGTTATAATATTTACATATAATTTAAACTAACTAATTTCTTTATTTATTAATAGATCGTAAGTTATAAGTTATTTATTTAATTCTATTATTACTTATTGTTATAATACTTACATATAATTTAAACTAACTAATTTCTTTATTTAAAAATTATTTATAATCTAGCTTGTAAGTATCTCTATTGTTATATATTTATATAATATTTATTTGTTAACTGAATTCTTTTATTTGAAAAATATCTGTTACTTTAGTCGGTAAGTTGTAAATCATAGGTTATTATATGTATTTATCTAAAAACTAAGACTTATATTTCATTAAATTCCTATTTAAATTTTAGAGTAAGTAATAATTTATTTTGTATAAATTATATTACAATTTATAATATAATTTAATTATTTAAATTTATAGATTTGGATAAAGTCGTAATACAATTATAGATGATTTTATTCTTAAAAAAAAATTAAGATGGATTCCTTATAACAAATTTAAAAATGTTGAATATCTTAATGAGGGAGGATTTGGTACTATATTTAAAGCTACTTGGTTAAAGAATAATGAAGAAGTAATTCTTAAATGTCACAAGAATTTAAATGAAAATTTAAATGAATTTTTGAAAGAAGTATGAGAGTATATTATTTTCTATTTTTAATTTAAATTAAAATTTATTTATATTAATAAATTATTATTATTTTTTATAGTGGGAATATCATACAAATGTTTTAAGTTCAAATGATATTATAGAATTTTATGGATTCACAAAAGATCCAAATACATCAAAATATATGGTAGTAATGTATTATGCAAATAAAGGTAACTTAAGAGAAAATTTAACAAGAATAGTTGTAAATAATTGGAATCAAAAATTAGATATGTTGTACAGAATTATCTCTGGACTTAGTAAGATACATGAAAAAAATCTTATTCATTGTGATTTTCATGATGGTAATATTTTAAATCATAATGATAGGAATAAGGATAAATTTTATATTAGTGATTTAGGATTATGTCAACCTGTAAAATCGTTTTTGAAAAAGTATGATATTTATGGTGTTATACCATTTATGGCTCCTGAAGTTTTAAGAGGCAAGTCTTATACTCCAACTAGTGATATATATAGTTTTTCTATGATTATGTGGGAGTTTACATCTGGAATACCACCATTTAATAATAGAGCACATGATATTCATCTTAGTTTAAGTATTTGTAAAGGTGAACGTCCTGAAATTATTGAAATTACTCCACAATGTTATGTAGATTTAATGAAAAAATGTTGGAATGAAAATCCATTAAAAAGGCCATCTTCTAAAGAAGTATTAGAAATTATTAAAAAATGGATTTTCCGTCCTAAAGATTATGAAATTAATGAAGAATTAAAAAGCAACATTATGGAATTTATAAATGCACCAATTGGGCATAGCGATCTTGCTACTAAATCTCATCCTAAAGCATGTTTTACAAGTCGCTTACTTGATTTTACTAGTAAAAAATTGAATGAAATTCTTGAAAGTGAAAATTCACAAGCTAGTGTAAAAGCAAATGAAATGCTAGTAAGTGAAGATTTGAATGATTGTGTAATTAAGGGTCTGGGGTCATTAGGTATGTATTATGAGATATAAAAGAATTAATCTTGCAAATTATTTATATAAAATTAATTTAATTATTTAATTATTAAAACAGATGAGAGTACTAGTAAAAAGTCGAATGAAATTTCTGAAAATGAAGATTCACAAGCTAGTGTAAAAGCAAATGAAATACTAGTAAGTGAAGATTTGAATGATTATATAATTAAGGGTCTGGGGTCATTAGGTATGTATTATGATATATAAAAGAATTAATCTTGCAAATTATTTATGTGAAATTAATTATATTTAATATTTAATTATTTAGATATTAAAGCAGATGAAAATTAACCAATCATTGTTTGCTTTTAAAAAAATTTATAATTTTTTTTAAGTGATATTTGATATTGCAATATTCAAAAGAAATTGTTTTTTATTTTATTCTTTTAAACACTAAGACTAAAGTAGTAAAATATTTTACAAGTTTCTTAGTTTGTAATTTAAATAATTCTTTTTTTTTAGCTTATATATTTATATTCACGTTTTTTATTATACTTAGAATTATTTAAACACTAAGACTAGAGTAGTAGATATTGTACAAGTTTCTTAGTTTGTAATTTAAATAAATCTTTTTTTATAACTTTTCCAATTATGAGATATAAATTATCAAAATAATTATATAAAACCATTTCCAATGATAATGTAAAATATTTTATACTTATTCCAATAGCTGATTGTACTTAATTTATATGTTGACTTTTATTTTAATATTTTGATAAGAAACTATACCATGGATATCTGCTGGATTATACAAGGCATTTTTTTTTCTTGATAAACCAAAGTCTTCTATTTTGATGCACAAGTACAAATGTACTTATTAAAATGAATATATATATTAATTTATTGCTTGATGTAATTAAATTTAAAAAAAAATTCAAATGTACAATAAATTATTTATGTTACAAATCACAGTAAATAATTCACTTGTTATGAGATATACGGTAATTATTCAGTTATTTTTAACTTGAGCAAAATGATATGATGATTATTTTAATATATCAATAAAGAATTAACTTTATATTCAGTTATTTATTATTTTTATTATTTATTAACTTTACTTAGTCTAATTGGTCTATTAAAGATAAAAATAAAGGTTTTTTTATCCTAACAAATATCTAATGGCCTAATAATAATTAATACATTCTTCTGATTATTAAATTCTTTGTCTTGCTTAAGATAAATAAAATAATACTTTCTCTTTCAAAATACTCACGAAAATTGCAACAATTTGTAATGTCCATAATACTACAGAATGGTTAATTTGAATTTTTATAAGTATTATTTTTCATGACGATATTAAGATATGATAATATTTAAAGAAGTAACGCAATGCAAATTTGGTGAGATCTTTATTTGTCATTGACATATATTAATATTATTTCTTAATCAACACTTTGGAGCAGATTTTACTTACTTTGATATACTTTGGGTCATAATATAATTATAACTCTTACGGACGTTACAAATCGTTAATGGATCGAAAATTTTAATTTCGTAAACTAGCGATAAAGGTTCTTTTACAAGTACGTTTTGAAATTTTTGTTCCAATTCATTTATATAAGTAAATAGGTTATATATTATATAGAATTATGACTTGATCCGTGAAATATATATATATTTCCAATTTTTCAAAAAATCTTTATTGATCCAAAAAAAGAAAATTTTTTTAATATACATAAACATGTATGTATGCAAAGAAAATGAAAATGACAAATATAGGTCGGATGACCATTCCATGAAATGGGTTAAAAGTAACACTATAAGCCTCAATAAAGGAAACTGAAAGTTCTTCATTTTCATCATTAATGAAACGTTTTAACTTTTAATGTTACTAAAGTAAATTCAAATTCTCTATAGTTATATTAAATAATATGAAATTTATGGTAGAATCAGTAGCGGTCCTTACCGTCTTCCATCAGTATAGTTTCTTTGAAAGTTATCAAATTAAGTAATTATTTTTCTTTTTTTTTAAAAAAAATAGAGAACTGATAAATAATAAAAAGTCTGATAGTAGAATTAAATAAATAACTTCTTTACAGAAACTACAAGATCGTAGCGATGGCTTAATGCGCAGTAACTGCATATATGTAATTTCTTTACGATTACATAATGTGGTCACTATATATTTATAACACAGTTACTGCGCATTAAGCCATCGCTACGATCTTGAAGTTTCTGTACAGTTACTCTCTACTTTAGAACAAGGAGTTACGGTCCACAATAAACAATGAAAAGTTTACAAACTATATTACCTAATAGTGGACTATATATGTAGATTATTTTGTATTATTATTTAGGTGGTATGTTTGGTATAGGTAAATATTATTAAAGAGGAAAATAAAAGTAATAGAAATTTATAGAATTCTTAATTTTGATAGGTTACTTGTACAATTATTATCAATTATCATTATCATTATAATTATCGTTACTATAAATAATAAATAATAATTAACAATAACTTCGAAAAGATATGGTAATACTGTAAATAAAAACAAATAAATAAAATTTTTTGGATTTTCAGTTTTTAATCGTCTTTATTGTTTTAATAGGAATAGATGATAAAAAAGTAATAATTTTTGGAGGGAAAGGAAATACTATGAAGAATCACTATATAATTTAAATATAAACACTTTTGAATGGTCGTCATGATAATGAATATATATGGACAACAATATTTGATCCTTCGATTCCTAATAATATTATGGATTCATCATCCCCATTTTTACAACCATTAAATATTGCAGCTCATTCGGAAGTTACTTTTTATATAAATAGAAGAAAAATAAATAAAATCAGAAACATATAACAAGAACAACATCGATTCCTCATAGTTATAGTAACTGTTAGATGCAACTGTTTTATTATTTCTATTCGATAAAAAGTTAGTTAAAAAGTAATAACAATATATAATTTAATTTTTAAAGTATACTGATCAGATATAGTTTAATTTTGAAAAATATAGTAATTAAAAATTGTGAAACGTTTTAAGTTTTAACTGTTAGTAGAACAAACCACGCAAATTTTTTTTTGTCTACGAGGATCACATGACTCTAATATTGATTTATGATTTTAATGCGTTGCGGTAATTCGGGCCGAACCTGTAATTCCGGCCTGAACTACAAATATATATTCACGTGATCGTTAATGTTATACTGTACTTTTTTCATTATCCCGGGAGAAATTACAATATATTACACACATGTGAATAAGTTTACCGTGCAATATATATATATATATATATTTATATTTATATTTTATCATATTTAGCAAAAAATTGAATACATTTTAAATAAATAGGTTTTATTAACGAATTTATGTGACGCAATACAAACCATCCAATAACACCTTATGAATATAACTATATAAAATACTTCAATTATTAATTGATGTCGAATCAATTTACAACGTCCCTATTTCTCCTCGCTAAATGCTGTAGGCCTCTATCATATTTGTGTATTAACCTCAAAGGTACTACCCGCCGCCTAGCTTACGAGGTTCATTACTGAATTCGGTATCAGAAAGGTCGACCGATCCCAATATACGACGCCTATCGTAATTGATTAATAAATTCTCTGGATAATTACACGATGATCCCATTTAGATAAAATCATTACGCAAGAAAAACAAATTAACAAAATTGACTTTAATAAGAAATAGTTAAATAAATTTTATTACTAAACTATTTAAGTAAAGTGGACATTACAACTGAAAATTCAAATAAATAAGAAATAAGTTTAAAATAATATAAGGAATAAATTTTTTATTTACAAATTGATAGGAATTATTGGTAATGTGATAATAAATTTTAAATTTGAGCGTTTATTAATGCTAAACTTGTATAAATTAATTGATGAGTTTTATTACATATAACTCTAACAAAATTACGAATGAAATCTTTTATCATTGCAAAAAAATCTGGATTTATAAAAAAACTGTTACTGGGATTTTTTTTTTAAAGGTGGAAATGATAAAGAGGAAAATATGGTAGGAAATGAAAATTAATGACGAAAGAGCGAAAAGAAAGTATTAAAACATTGCTAATTCCGCTGTAAATGCAGATTTTAACTAAATATAGTTACGCTTGTTCATCTGTGCTAGTCAAGTCAATTAAAGGAAATTCTTCATCGCCGATTTGGGAAATAATAACAAATCAAATTTGGACTAAATCTTACAAACTCATGAACACACGTTTTCATGTGAAAGGAAAAATTCGGATCCAAGGGAAAAAACAATATATTCGAAAAAAGAAAAACAAATAATTGTTATAATTTCCTTTTTCGAATTTTGCCGACACTAGCAGTTTCATCCCTTTATTCACATTGACTTCTTTGTAATTATTTTCTTTTTAACGAAATTAATATGTTTGACATGAACAAACTTGGTAATACAAACAACTTTAAAAATAGAATGAATGTCGATTTAATAAAATATTTAAATGAAGCGTAATTTTGTTAGTATCCCCTTTTTAAAAAAAAAACCGATAAATAGTAATCTGATATACAAGCAAAATTTTCACAACATTAAAAGAAATTAGAATTTAAGGAAATGTCAAATACACTTTTAGCCGCAGCATTAAGTGCTATTACCAATAATACTGTTATTACTTACGATGATTTTTGTAATAAATGGTGGAATAGTGGTGATTATTCTCCATTGAGTCAAGAATCTCTTCACCAGTCACATTTAATTGGTGGTAGAGTGCCAACTGCTAATATAAAGGGTAGTGCAAATAATGAATCATCAAAATTAAAATTCGTGTTCTCAAGAGGATCAATAAGTCGAACTAAGATGAATCAAAAACTAGCCGAAGTGTTCATTAAAACATTATCGGACAAAACTATAAAAGTAGAAATTGATTTAAATGAAACAATTGATCAGTTAAAAGCAAAAATTCAAGATAGATTAGGTATACCATCAGATCAACAAAGATTAATTTTTGCTGGCAAAGGATTAGAAGATGGTGCCACTTTAGTGGATTGTGATATAAAAACTGGAAGTACCTTGCATTTATTATTGAGGTTAAGAGGTGGCGGTGGTATGGGAGTATTATTTATTCATCCGGATCAGCTTGACCCAGATTATGATTATGATTTCACGGATGTAAATGATGAAGGAATAAAATTTATGAGAGGAAATTTTGAATATAAACGTCCTTGTGGATGGAAAAGAAATGCCCTCAACGTTCTTAATAAATATGAAGATAACAGTTGGCTTGGTGTTAATAATAGACGTTGTTTAACAAGTTCGGTACAAAATGAATGGCCAGGTAATAAGGAAATATTTGTAATATTTAATGTAATATATATTTTTTACTCATTTCATCAATATTTTACGTATTTTAATAGTTTCTTACCATGGAACTGCAAAACATAACTGTAAATCAATCGCTGATGAAGGTTATCAATTGTGCAAGGGTAAACGATTCCTATTTGGACATGGAATTTATTCTACTCCGGATATTAATGTTGCGTATCAATACGCTAAAAAATTCACTTACGAAGGGGATGTTTATAGAATCGTGTTTCAAAATAGAGTTAATCCAAATAATTTAGTTAGAATTACAAATGAAGAAACTGAAAATGGTGAATATTGGATTTCCCCTGATGGAGCAGATTTGCGTCCTTACGGTATTTGTATCAAGAAAGACAATTAATTAATATATACATTAACATAGCTTATACATTTGTCTGTTTTTTTTATTTAATATTATTAAGTTGTATTTTATCTAGATAGAATTTTGAATAAATCTACTTTACATTGATAATATAGTTATTGAGTATGATATAACCTCCGATGTTGTATAGTGATAGTAAGTGCGATACTGTTATACTAACTATATTTGGACTTTTTAACGGTGGATTTTTTTTTTAAAAAAAAAATTTTTATTTTTAACTTCTTTTTTCGTTTTTTTTAAAAGAAAGGGTGAAAAAATTGATTTTATTTATTTATTTTTATTTTTTTATTAAAAAAATCATTTTTCTTTTTTCAGGATTAGGGACAAATAGAATCGGAAACCACTTTGAAGTCAAAATCTCATAATTAGGTGAGAGTTGAACGTGAAGTGCAGGATTTAAGGAATTTTAGTGCAATTTTACTAACTGAATGTTCCTTTTGATTTCTTTTATTTTGTAGGTACCTACCGGACGTCTTGGATATTTGATTTCAGAACTTGAGATCGGTTTCAATGAAGGTAGGGATTAGGAAGTGGTGATTTAGGTTATGTTAATATAATTTATTAGCATTTCTTTTGCCTTTTTTCTTTGTAAATACCTACTTGACCGCTTGAACGACCTTGGATTCTGAATAAAAGGTAGGCGTTGTGAATTTGGAGTTAGAGGACGTTAGTAGAACCTTTACTAACGTTTCTTTCATTTTTTTTTTAACCGTAGAAGCCTCCTACCTGAACACTTTGAAAGGTACAGGTTAAGAACAACATTGCTTGGAGAACTTAGTACATTGTAATGGAAGATTTAATGAGGATTTACTTTAAAAAAAACATTTTAACGTTTCATTTTTTTTTTTGTAGAGAACAGGACGCGTCTAATATGTCTTCTGGGATTATTAGATAATAAATTACGAAGTTAAACGAAAATTTTAACTCTCATGTTTATATTTTTTTTATTTTTATTGGTAATAATCACTTAAGCTGAATTTGTCGGATTATTTTTGAATTTTGATTACTTTTACTTAAAAATGCATAAATAAATAATAAATGTGATTAGGAAAACTTTTTTAATTTAAAAATTTGTTTTTTATTGAACATCAAAGTCTATCAAGTTATCTAATGGTATGTTAGTATGTACTAAATTTATAAAGTATAGCTGTATGGCATTAAAAATTTCAATACTCAGAGTATAGTTTTTGCAACTATACTGCATAGATTTTATCAAATTATATTATACAACCTCGGAGGTTATCTCGTAACTCAATATCGTTTAACCGCTTTACTTTGTACCGACTAAAAAATTAAATAAAATATACTAAATATTGTTTTTAATAAACAAGAGAAATTTGATACATACATCTTAGGAGTATGATCAAGGTGATAGTTGTTTTAAATTATTTAGGTGAACGTAAAATCCATCCAATTTCAAAAATTAGATAATGATGAAAACTGTACTGCAAAAATTAAAATTTCAGGACCAACTGGTAATATTTATATTAGTCATCACTTTAGCCAAAAGCATAAAATTTAAAATTTATGAACATTCTAAATCTTCAATCACTACACCATCAATTCGTATCCACAAATTTAGTAAAACAAAAATTGCATTTTTAAATTTATGGCTTAGCAGAAATTTTTTTATAATAAAATTATTGTGATCCTGGGGAATGTCAAACTCACTCTTAGCCACAGCAATATAGTTCTAAAAATTTTTTTTTTGGTTTTTAAGTCGTCTGCTACACATTCAACTCATTTCTTATAGGCATACATGCAAATTTTAGATAACAAATAAAAATTAAAGGTGCTTGCACAAAAAAGAAATACATTTACATTTGGTAACATGCGCCGCAATATACGTTACTGTTACCAAGAAATAATTTTGCGATTTTTATTTTATTTATAAAATTTATATATAGAGGTACGGTGGGCTGTGCGAATTGAATTGTACCTGTGACGATCTTGTGACTGTGCATCGTACTGTACCAATTAAATTAATCCAGCAATAACATCACTACAGACGGGTAAACTCTGTATTACATTTTTTCACAAATCCATCCTTGTGCTTTTTCCGGATTTAATTTAGCCGGAATTCCCTATAAAAATGATCAACGATTGTGCATTTTTGCATTTTATTTCTTTTTGAAGTACGGAAAACTCTGGTTGTAATGGATGATAACAAATTATTACAAAAATTATCTCAAAATTTACTTGAAATTTTAGATGATAATGAATATTATGATATTACTGTTGAAGTTGGTGATGACCCTCATGTAAAAATATTCCGTGCTCATATGGTTATTTTAAATTATCGTTCTTCTTATTTACGGAGAATTTTATCAACAAATAAAAGGAAAGATGATAGTACTTTAACGCATATTAAATTATCAAATATTTTACCTGAAACTTTTCAAATCATCTTAAGTTAAGGATAACTTGAAAATTCTGAATTATAATTGATTCTTTTATTTTAATTTTTTTTATTTAATATTTATTAATTTTCTTTTTTTTTTTTAAGATATATATATGGAGGAAGCCTTTCTTTAGAGGAATATAATATTTCAGACATTGTTAATATCTTGATTAGTGCTAGTGAACTTAGTCTTCAGGAATTAACCATACACTTACAATCATTTTTGATTGAAAATAAAAAAGATTGGATCGAACAAAATTTTAACTTAATCTATCAAACAAGTTTTAATAATGATTCTTTCTTAAAATTACAAAATTTTTGTACTGAATTAATATCTAAAGAACCTGAAAAAGTTTTTAATTCAATCGATTTTACTTCACTTTCAAAAAAATGTTTGATTTCTCTTATTCAAAACGATAATATTCAAATGGGTGATATTCAAATTTGGGAAAATATTCTTAAATGGGGAATTTCTCAGAATCCTGAACTTTCTTCAGATCCTTCGAATTATTCAAAAGATGATTTTAATATTCTGAAAGATAGTCTACAACAATTCATTCCTTTTATTAAATTCTATAATTTAAATTCTAAAGAATTTATAGATAAAGTATATCCATATAAAAAAATCATACCAAAAGAATTACGTGAAAAATTAATTAAAAATTTTATTTATCAACAAAATAACAAATCAGAATTAATTATAACAAAAGAAATTAATTCAAAAAGTATTGATTCAAAGATCATTACAATTCAACATGTTGGATTAATTTCAAGATGGATTGATAAATTAGAAATTACTGATAATATAAAAAATTTATATGAATTCAAATTAATCCTTCGTGGTTCACGTGATGGATTTTCACCCAAAAAGTTTCATGAGATTTGTAATAATAAATCTGATACTATAACAATTATTAAAGTTAGAGATAGTAATGAAATTCTTGGAGGATATAATCCAATTATATGGAAACCTACTTCAGGTCATAGTAATACTATAAATAGTTTTATATTTTCTTTTAAAAATAAGGATAACATTGAAAATTTTATTTTAAGTCGAGTAGATGATGATAAGAATGCTATATATAATAATCCTAATTATGGTCCATCATTCGGTAATTGTGACCTTGTATTATATGGAAATAATTTTTATGATCAGAGTTATTGTAAGAAATCTTCTTGTTATGAAAAATTAATTAGAGAAACTGAATATTTTTCTGTAGAAGAATATGAAATGTTTCAGATTGTGAAAGGATGTTCAAAAAAGGATAATAACGATGCTAATGAAGTCTCTTCGCATGATAATAATAAAGAACTAAATATAAAAAGAATATTGGAGAAGAGTGTATTATCAAGGGAAGCGGGAATACAAGAAGAATTGAAGGTGCGAGAAGAATTGAAGAGGCAAGAAGAACTGAAGAAGCAAGAAAAATTGAGGTGGCAAAAAGTATTGAGACGAGAATTAGAGAAGCAAGAAGAATTGAGGTTGCAAAAAGAATTTGAGAGGCGGAAAGAATTAGAGAGACAAGAACAATCGAAGTGGCAAGAAGAATTAAAGATGCGAGAAGAATTAGAGAGACAAGAACAATTGAAGTGGCAAGAAGAATTGAAGATGCGAGAAGAATTAGAGAGACAAGAACAATTGAAGTGGCAAGAAGAATTGAAGATACAAGAAGAATTAGAGAGACAAGAAGAACTGAAATGGCAAAAAGAATTGAAGATGCGAGAAGAATTAGAGAGACAAGAACAACTGAAGTGGCAAGAAAAATTGAAGAGGCAGCAATGAAATTGCAAAAAGAATTGAAGAGGAGAAACATATGCAATTAGTTTGACATGAGAAGAAAATTGGAGACGAGGAGACTACTTTAATTTCTGAATTTGATATTCAAAAAATTCGATATTTTTATATAATAACTATAGTAACCTTATAACAGCAAGAAATTTGTTTATTTAAGCGCAACATTTAAATTAAATGGCATGTATTAATTTATTAAATAGTATGTATTAATTTACTATATAGTAAACTACAAGTATAATAAAAGAATTTGTTTGGAAATTTTATACTTTTCTTTATTTCTCTTTATAAATAATAAATTTACTGAACAATGAATGCTACTAATCACGAATTACAAGGGTTGGAAGGTTGATATTTAGCAACCCCTTCAATTATTTGAACATTTGAACCTGTAATAATAATTATAATATTAATTAATAAGAGTTGATTATTTTTCTCTTGAAAATTTATTATTTTGTTTGTTAACATAATATTAATAATTTATCATTGTATCGCGTAATTGCAAACATAACTAATGGCAAAGCCATTGTTCGATTGATAAATTTTTCAAACGGGGTAATGCATTACAATAATAGAATGCAGATTGATTATTACGAATCTCATGAAATTTATTAAATTTACTACATAGCTAAGTAAGAATCTTTCATTCTTTTCTTCGTTTTCTTCGTTCTATCTGAATTTCTCTTCATTACATTTGAATTTCTCTGTTATGGCTACTAACAAAAAATTAAATAAAATAAAATAACCGTTCTTAATCAATCAAAAAAATCGTCAGATCTTCCTGTTCAATCACAAGATCCACGAAAGTTTCCGCCTCGTCAGTAATTTCTAATCATAATTTAAATATACTTAAATTTTCACGCAGTTCTTTGTATAATTTTTTATAATCAAAGTTTTAGCTAGGATCAAAGATAATAACTAAAGAGATTAGTTCAAAAAGTATTGTTCCAAAAATCACTACAATCCAACATGCTGAATTAAGAAATTATTGAAGAGATGAAAATTCGAATAGATTTAAGTTGTTTCTTTTATGGATCTCGTGCGTGATGAATTTTCGCCTCATTAATTTCATGAGATTTGTGATAGCCAATCTCATAGTAACAAAGTCTTTTGAGGTATACTGTATGTAAATCTGACTGTAGATTTGGCACTAAGAAAGATAGTTTTATATTATTAAGAATAAGGAAAATATAGAAGATTATATTTTATTGAAGATAAGAACCACGCTATAGAAATGACTTCATTTGGTGATGGTGACCTTTTTTTGTACGGAAACAATTGTTATAATGAGAGTTATCGTTGTATGGCAAACCAATTAGCGAATATGACGGTATATTGGTTTTTTGGGAAACACACTTTTATTTATTACTTATGTGTAATAGCACACATACATTATCAAAATTCTTTTTTAAAAGGTATTTTTTTTAAGACAAAATTTTATTAATAGAATTAAAAGATGACCGGGATATGGATCGGAACACTACTGACCAGGGGCAAGTTAGTAAAACTCTTATTAAATAATAAATATAAAAAACATGTCGTTTTTATTAATTGTAAGCGTTTTTACATATATTCCAATTTTAATGAAGTTATAGATGTATAAAATAATTACTATTTATCTCATGTTTACTACAGTCTGATCTCGATGTAACGAACCCACGACTTACCGAACTTTTTTTAAAAGTTTCATAGTATGAACTTTATATAATGTATACCGAACTTTTATTGGTTTACCGGCGCTTATTATAAAAACCGAACTCAGTCACATGATTTGCCAATTTCGCCTGAAATTAATTAATTTCGGCCAGAATTAGAACCACTTAATTTTGCCTAAATTAATTGATGCCAAGACATTTAATTCTGGCCGAAATTGGGATATTAATCACGTGATTTTCTTTATATACCGAACTTTTCGGTATGATATATAAAAAAATTTTTCTTTACCGAACTCTACTATATACCAAACTTTTACCCCCAAACCGTGGGTTAGGTATATCGAGATTTGACTGTAATTGGTCGACAGTGATTTTTTTGATGATATATTCATGTCTGTAATTTCTCTGATGATATTTTTCATGCTCACGTGTTTTTATAGTTTATTCATACCTTTCCCCACTCTTTCCCATCACTGGCGTTAGTCTCCATGAGATAAAAGAGTTTGCGCCGTGAAATCATTGATATTCATGACTCCCCGTGAAATAACTATTACGTATAACAAGGTGAAAATTTTTTTGTACGACATTTATTTATTATGGAATATTTACAATCGGAACAAATCCATTCTTTATCTTTCTCATTGATATAATTAAATACTTTATCTTTCTGTTGATACCTTTCACAATTACATCTGATATCAGAAACGCTCTGAACTACAAATAAACATAGGTTATTATTATCTTATAATTACAATAAAATAAAAATTGAATATTCTTACGTATTACGTCATGGATAATATAGCAACAACCAGTACAAAACCAATTTTTAAGGAGTTATCATATCTAAACACTCTTTTCCTCATAGTTATCGCGGTAGCATCTAATTCCTTTGAAAAACACTGAACTAAAAATATAAATGTAAACTAACATTGAAATACTGATCTGGCAATGGTCAATTAATGCTATTTACCTTCTTTTCTTACATTATAAATTCGATACTTATTTAACAATTTCTTTAATTGCTGAATATCAAATTCATTTACGCTACTAGATCTGACTAAACTTCCACTGTAAAAAGTCCACTTCTTTGCTTGCTAAACTTTTTCTTGGTACACTTATAATATCCACAATTAAAGCAGTAATTTGAACGAATTATAGGCCGGCAATGACAATCATACATATTACAACACAAACACCATTCTGACTTTTGGATAACTACGGGTAAAATGTTAAAAGTAGTAAATTATAAGAGGAATTAAATTCTTGAAAAAAAAGTGCTATACCTTTTTCTTTTAAAATAATTTTGTCAATATAAGATTGCTCAAGTGTCAATTGACCTAAATAACATTTCTCGATTATCAATTGTAACAAATAATATCCAGCTATTTAAATTAATTCCTAGCATACCTTCGTCATGAATAATATTTTCAAGAATAAATCACTCGAAATAAACGGGAGAAAACACCCCGTTCACTTACTTTCTTCATAATCATCCATTTCGAAATATTGATCTAAATAAAAATCTTTCAAGAGTCAATGAAAGAGCCCTAGACAAAATCTAATACACATTATGGACATTGGACGGGAGAATTCACACCGTGTTTTTTCTAAACCAATATCTAATAAGCTATAAGGACATTGGACGGGAGAAATCACCCCGTTTGCTTTAAATTAAACTAAAACTAATGCTCAAAACGGGGTTTCGAAAGCTGAATAAGCGTCTTATAGAACAGGAGAATTCACCCTGTCTCATGCACTTACCGTTGTTATGATCATGAGATAACTGATTTTCATCTCTCGTTTCATTCACTTCAAAATTTGTAGGTCGAGTTTTTGATGAGATTACGTCTTTAACGCCATTTTCGTTATGTTGATCTCTTTTTTTTTTAAAAAAAAAAATAGTAACGCGTTTATTAATTAAAACAATCATTAAATTGATTAAGAAAATAATATAATTAACTAAGTTTGACCTAGTCTAAAAATTTAATCTATATAATCTAATTTAAAAAACATTTTTTTACCTATCGTAATTATTTTATCCTTTGTTACTATTTTATTGTTTTCCCTAAATTTTTTTCATAAATTTTTTCTTTTTCATCTGTTTTTTTTATTTTTTTTATTTTTATTTTTATTTATATCGTCTATTTCCTCATCCTTCTCCTTCCTTTTCCTTAAATCTCTCTTTTCCAAACCCCTTTCTTTCTTCTTCTTTCACCTTCTTCTTTTTCACAATAAATACTGTTTTTTAGAATTTCGATAAACTCAATTTCCGCGTCTATCAAGCTATCCAATAGTTCTATTCTTTCGTTAAATCTTGCATCTTTTATATCTTCTTCGTTATATAATTTAACACATTTATTTTTTTCAATAATGTTTCCCAAAGTCTCATATGGTTTAATACCCTAATCTTTTATTCTTTTTCTTATTAACCTACTAGAATCATTTTCCAAATATATTAAACATTCATTGTTATCCTTATTTCTCTTTATATTCCTTTCACAACCATGACATTTTATCAATATAGGCGATTCTTCCATATTTATTCCATCTTTATTTTTAATTATCAAATTTTTTCCTATCCGTTTAAACTTTTTACTTTGAGACTTCTTTTTATCCTCTCCAAAAATTGGAATACATTATTATCGTTCCATGTTATAATATTATTTCTCTCTACCTTCTCGTCTTCATCAAATAGTTACATTACTACATATGTATCGCCTTTCGTTATGTTGATCTAATATTATACTATAATGACTCGCAAAAATAGATTAGCGTATAATTTTGCGGTTTAATAACTTCATCAAAAATATCCGCGTAATAATTAGCCGGTTGAGAGTAAATGAGATAATTATAAAAAAATATTTCTAAGGATGCGATAATAAAAATATTTCAAATAATCCAAGCTCTATAAAATAGTTAATAACACATAACTTGAATAATTTTTCAACATTTCGATCAAAATTTAAAGAATAAATCACTAGTAATAAATGGGAGAAATCACCCCGTTCACTTACTTTCTTCATAACCATCCATTTTGTCTAAATTAAAAAATATATAATTTTAAAATTTAGTGGAAATTCTTATTATTCAAAATAAAGGAACATGTAATACCTTCGCCATTTTCTTAGTGTCAATCGAGATTTTGATCTAAATAAAAACCTTCAAGAGTCAGTGAAAGAGCCCTATAATTTCTATGGGAGAATTCACCCCATGTTAACTACTCCTCAAACCGGGCAGCGTAAGCTAAATAAGCGTCTTATAGAACAGAAGTATTTACCCTGTCGTAGGGATGGGAATCGATTATCGAATCTTTGTAGATTCGATTTTTTGTTCCTTAAAAGATAATCCATTTTAAGCTTTGATAATTAATTCCATAATCAGTAAATATATAAATTCTGAATTAAAATTGTAAAATCTATTAAGAAATTATATATCGTTACTAATACCCAACTGTAATTTACTATAACATCATTGCCGATCATTTCGTCATTTTTAAGTTTTTGAAGGCCATTATCGATCAATTTTTCTTTTTTGAAAATATTTTAAATCATGCACTTTAATTTTGGATGCGATGCTAATTTTTTTGCTTAATTTCAATTTTCTCTTCAACAAATGAGATTCGATTTTGATTCGATTATTGATTCCAACCCTACCCTGTCGCATGCACTTACCATGATCATGAGATAACTAATTATATCATTCACATGGTCAGAATTCGGTCAGACTAGTTATAAGAAGATAATAAGATAAATTTGAAAATTAATAAATAATACAAATGATACAACGAATTTTGTATATTTTGAAGAGAAGAAATAATGAAAGAGCTTGTCATTATAGACAGACGGGAGAATTCACCCGTGTGCTTTAAATTAAAGCGAAAACAGAATAGCACTTACCGTCGTTATGATAAGTTATTTCTTCAATAACAGCGTTATTTATGCAAGTCTTATCTAAGTTATTCAAAATTTCTTTATGAAATAGATTAGTTTACTTTCTTTTGTTGTAATTCAAAAGTCTATTTATATCCTTCATGTGCTTTGCAGCAGATCTTTTCTTCCTATGACGTTGATTATTTCTGATAGAGGCCATACAGAAATTAAAATTACGGTAAATAAAAAGAATTAAGATACGCTCATCTAATAAAGAGGTAAACATAAACAAAATGTTAAAAGCCAAAAGCGCGGCTGCAAATCACGTGATTCTGATGACTTCCAGAGTTCTAGTTCTAAGCTTCACGTGAACTGTCATAATATTAGCTGTTACCTCATTTCATTTCATTTAAAATTTTTTATAATTTACTTTAATGGTGAAAATAACATTGTATTTTCGACATGTCTAGTGAATATGGATTTAGTAACTGAAGTTGACGTTAAAATGGTTTGCAACATTATCCAAATACTAAGATTATTTTAATAATTGCAAGAAATGTTTCTAAACTTAAAATTAGATGAGGATGATCCAATCTTATCCGGAATTATTGATTCATATCATATAAAACGAATCACACAATAATTGACAAAAAAGTTATAAAGAAGGACTGGGAATTCACAAATTTCCAACAATCGCGTCTTAAAATGGATTAATAAAATAAGGAACAATGATGTTATGCTAAAGTGATCAATTAAATCATTAATCAGAGATTTATTACATGCTTGGAAAAATGACAACTACCAGACGAATCGACCTTTACTCATGATATACTAGCCCCTAGCCTATATTAAAGATTCGTTGCTCCAAATGGATCAAGCACAGAGCTTGTCGGCTAGGGATAGAGGTGTGTTGAAATAATTATGTAGATGCAATAGGAAATATTGAATAATGGACATTTCTTTGAACATTTTTTTGTTGAAGCATCTCATATCCCTTTCCATCCGAATCCTGAACAGCACGTAGTTCGGTAGTTGATGATAATTTTAAATTAGCGAAATTAGGAAAAGATTCATTAGATAGAAATAGGGGGAGTGTCACTCAGAATAATATAATTTTTCTATTTCACTGAATAATTGTGTATTTATTTAATGGATTATAAAATTATAAATTTTTTCCATTAGCTAGAAAAAATTTTTGATTTTTGCAATAATTCGATCCATTATTAACTACTAGAATCTCTTCGTGAATCATTGTGCCCAAATATTAATTGCTGTTTCAATTCATAACGGCAACAAGATTTTGCATCTGTAATGTAAATTACGTTCAATAGCGGCAACAATATATTTACAATGATACTTTATCTATATTTAAATATAGAATTTTTTAATTGCCCGCCGTCGGTGCTATCGCATGATTGATATAACACGTGATATTTACAATATAATTGCGATCGTTTACTGGCGGCGGTACTAAGATTTTATCTTAAATATATTAGTACAAGTGAAGTTGAAATTTTATCAGACAATTGCTAAATGAATTATATAACCGAAATATAATGTAAAAATAGCATAAAATAATAAAATGGATTTATTTCAAGTATTTCTTTAATACAGTATTTTGATTTTCAACATATTCACTATATAATTATAAGGTAATAATAATGAATTAAATGTTTTGATTAAAATAAACTAAAATATATATTTGGATAAATTTGCAGTTTACTATGAATAGGGATTTTGTTTTATATATTTAATCATCAACCATACAATCTAAGCAGTCAGAATTTTGAACTAAAATTTCAGTATGTAGGCGACTTGTATAATATGATTGTGGATGAGATTGTACAATAGAAGTATCGGGTTGTTCTTGTAATGAAGCTTCATTAGCTCTTATAAATTCATCTATATCAACCTTGAATTGGATTATATCACTACTATATAAAGGTTTCATATCATTACTATTTCCTTCATTTATTTCATAATATCTATTAACACATTTAAGCCATTGAGATATAATATGCTCAAGATCTCCTATAGTTGGCCTTTTAGAAGGGTCTGAATCCCAGCATTTTTTCATCAAATCTATATAACATTTTGGTGTATTTTTTATAACTTCAGGACGATCCCCTTCACAAATGTTTATAGTAAGTTGATAATCATATGCTTTATTATTAAACGGAGGAACACCTGATGTAAATTCCCACATTATCATTGAGAAACTATAGATATCACTTGCTGGAATATAAGGATCGTTCCTTAATATTTCAGGTGCCATATAAGGTAGAATTCCGTAATTTTCATCAGTTTTATCTTGTGATGAGTCATTAACAGGTCTACATAATCCTAAATCAATAATATACGTTTCATAATTATCTGACATCAAAATATTACTATCATGAAGATCACAATGAACAAGATTTGATTCATGTATTATCTTAAGTCCCAAAATAATATTTTTTAATAATTGTAGTTTATATTGCCATTTAAGTTTAACTATGCTAGATAAACATTTTCTTAAGCTTCCTTCTTTTGCATAACTCATTACTATTATATAATTTAAATTATTTGGCTCTTGAGTAATCCCAAAGAATTGAATAAATTTTGAAAATGATTTTTTCTGACAATTATAATTATACTTCCACTATATAAATAATTAGAATTATTAATTTTAATAATAAATAAAATAAATAAATAAAATAAATCCTACCTCACTTAAAAATTCATCAAAACTTGAAGAACCAATAGGAATTTTTAGAATAACTTCATAATCTGATTGTCTATTCCACTGTTGCATATTAAAATTCCAACTATCAATAGGTCCATCTAACCAAATAGCTTTATGGATTTCACCGAATCCACCTTTACTAAAATAATTAATATTTTCCAATCTATTATAAGGTATCCACTCCAAAACTTCATAACTATTTCTAGCATTTAGTTGTGCTTCTTGAATAAATTCATCAATAAGTTTATTTTTACTTGTCCAATTTGAAGAATCTTGTTGAAATTTTTTAGTATTACATTGTTGACACCAATGATAATCAATAAATGGTTGTTCACATTCTTTACATAACTCATTACTATTATGTAAATTTTCATCATTATTTTCTGCTGCCTTTTGAAACCAGTAAAAAGATTTTTCTATATTTTTTTCTACTCCTATACCATTTTCATAAAATAGGGCTAAACTGCTCATTGCATCTTTATTACCGTTTTCTGCTGCTTTTTGACACCAATAAAAGGCTTTTTCTAAATTCTCTTCTGTTCCTTTACCATTGTAATAAAGTGTGGCTAAATTGACCATTGCAAATTCATTACCATTTTCTGCTGCTTTTTGATACCAATAAAAAGCTTTATCAAAATTCCTTTCTATCCCATTACCATTGTAATAAAGTGTGGCTAGACTGGTCATTGACTCTTTATTACCATTTTCTGCTGCTTTTTGATACCAATAAAAGGCTTTTTCTAGATTATTTTCTGTTTCATTATTAATATAATAATATTTAGCTAAACCATCCATTGCAACTTCATTACCATTTTCTGCTGCTTTTTGATACCAATAAAAGGTTTTTTCTAAATTTTTTTCTGTTCCTTCTCCATTATTATAACATATGGCTAAATTATTCATTGCATCTTCATGACCATTTTCTGATGCTTTTTGAAACCAATAAAAGGCTTTTTCTAGATTCTTTTCTATTCCTTCACCATTATAATAACATACAGCTAAATTAAATTGTGCATTTTTATCACTATTTTCGGCAGCTTTTTGATACCAATAAAATGCTGCTTCTAAATTCTTTTCTGTTCCTTCACCATTTTCATAACATATGGCTAATTTATTCATTGCAATGTTATCTCCACTTTTTGCTGCTTTCTGACACCAATAAAAGACCTTTTTTAGATTCTTTTCTGTTCCTTCACCATTTTTATAACATATGGCTAAATTATTCATTGCATCTTTATTATCATTTTCTGCTGCTTTTTGAAACCAATAAAATGCTTTTTCTAGATTCTTTTCTGTTCCTTCACCATTTTTATAGCATTTTGCTAAATTATTCATTGCATTTTTATTATCATTTTCTGCTGCTTTTTGATACCAATAAAATGCTTTTTCTAGATTTTTTTCTGTTCCTTCACCATTTTTATAGCAGTTAGCTAAATTATTCATTGCATTTTTATTATCATTTTCTGCTGCTTTTTGATACCAATAAAAGGCTCTTTCTAAATTTTTTTCTGTTCCTTCACCATTGTAATAACATATAGCTAAATTATGCATTGCAACTTCAATACCATTTTCTGCTGCTTTTTGATACCAATAAAAGGCTTTCTCTGGATTCTTTTCTGTTCCTTCACCATTGTAATAGCATCTTGCTAAATTATTCATTGCATTTTTATCATCATTTTCTGCTCCTTTTTGATACCAATAAAAGGCTTTGTCTAGATTCTTTAGTGTTCCTTCACCATTGTAATAACACATAGCTAAATTAAATTGTGCATCTTTATCACCATTTTCTACTGCTTCTTGATGCAAATTAAATGATTTTTTTAACGGACTAATATATTCACCCATATTAGTAGGAGTAACTATTTTTCAGACGGAATAGTTGCCAATTTAAAATTTTTTTGCCGTTTATTCTTTAATTAATCTGTCAAAGAAACCCAATCAGGTTAGACTTTAAAACAATTTAACAGCCCCTGGTTCATTATTGGAAAGGATCATCTGCACGTGATCGTTAGTTGTACTCGCTGTGTGATTCTGTTACGGACGTCATTGACCTACCGATTTAACTATATCACTACACAAAAGATACTATTAGAAACTGTCACATATATGAGTTCTGAATCATCCTATAAATCTTTAATGCACTGGTTGATTAAGAATAATTGAAAAAGTAGTGACATAATAAAGTCAAAGAAATTATAAAAATTATATAATATTTTAAAAGAAAGTAAAAAAAAATTGAATTAAAAGCATAAAGTATTAATGGTTAAGCAAAAATAATGAGAAAAAAAAACTCCGAAATAAAAAAGATTATGTCTAAAAATGACTTTTGTAAAGTGATATCTTGTAAGAAAAACTTTGTCTAATAAAAGCTGTATAATTCTATTAAAGGTCAAGACCTTTACCACACGTATATACTATTAGGTGTGGAGTGAAAATATTTGCACTTGGGTTGAGTTTCAAGCGTCGGTATAAAATACTAAAATTTTATTAATAGAATTAAAAGATGACCAGGCTTAAAAATGTATATTCTCATCACGTGACTTTTGATCCATAACATACGTTAAATTTCCCTATTAAATTCTTTATTCTTTACTACAATTTTAATCCAAATAATAATACATAAAGCAACCTCTCGAACTAACTTTATACAGCCAGTGGTTCTCGCCTCAAAATATGTTATAATTTCTAAAGTATTGTGTGATTCGTAAAATGGTTTAATAATGTGATTTCGACTACTTGCATAACAAGCAAATAATATTGACCCATCAGCCTTCAATGATGAAACTTAAATAATATGTTTAGAGCTATGTTCAAAGTTTAACTTTGAAACTTAATAGAAACATTTACTAATGTTTCCCTTTATTTTTGTAGAATTCAAATTTCCCCTATATGGAATTTTTCACTGGTGTAACCGAACCAAGTACTTTAATTAATATTTGGTTTACCGGGGTTAATATTTTTATCTGAATAGCCAGTAAATACTTAAAAATTAATAAACAATATTATATTATTGTGCTGCTAAAGATATTATTTTTTAATAGTCAATTATCTTAAAATAGATTTTATTTGAATTACATTCGAAGGTTATGGCTAATACTAATTAATTTTTATGGAGTTTGCTATATAGTAAAAAATAATTAACAGTAAAATGTGTGTAACCAAATATATAAATGTAAAGATGAAATAATTTCTTATATGCAAGTTTAAACGTAATAAAAAGACTTACTGCCTCTATTTATGAGTAAAAGTAAAGAAATCGTTCAGATAATTTAATCTGATCATTAAGAGTCGAGAATAATATATATAAGAACAAAAACCAATTATAACAAAATTGCGAAAGTGAGTAAAAATGTCTAACCTTAATAGTTTACTAATAATAAATAGTAAACACTACCAACTTCACAAGTAGCATCAGAGTATTGTTCAAATGATTTATAAGCGTAAAGTAAATTTTATTTTTATTTTTTATTTTTATTTTTAAGATATAGACACGACTGGAGTATAACGTTACATAAGAATAGTTATAAACTACTAATAGTCTACTAAATTCTAAGCTAATGATAAACCCAACCTCTCGGGAGGAGCCCGAAGAAGTCGTCCTGCCTGATTATTAACAAGAACAACCTAGACATAACCTAAGTCGTGAAGGGACTATCTAAAGAAAAAGTTGAACTGAAAAAATTAAAATTAAAATTACAATGAGAAGAAAAATTATATATATCTAACTCAAAACTACTAGGCTGCCGGATAGAAGATAACCATCCACCAGAATGTAAAAAATTGCAAGTACACAGGATCAACCACATTGGTAATGCAGAAGTAGTTGTCGGCGTAAAGTAAATCTTTAACATTTCATTTTAATTGTACTCGATATTATTAGTCACATGCCAGGTAGTGGCACAGCATTGTCAAATAGATCTCTGAAATCACGTAATCAGTACGCTTAATCTTAGTGAATTTTAACTTCAAGGGCAAATAAATAATAAGAAAATGGAGTAACAACGTGACCAATCCTCTGATTTTCAATTCTATGATAATTCTGCAATCATCAACGGAGATATCGATAAAGAATGGATCAATTACAACCTCTAGATTCAGCTACTGGGTTTAAACTTTCAAAGGATCAAATGAATAAAATTAAGAAATGTAATTTTCTTTATCCCATCGGTATTATGTATACACCGATGGATTTTTTGTAAATTATTCCGCCGGTATAAAAAAAGTATAAAATCCATCGGTGTATACGCCATACACAATGAGATAACAAGTATTTATCCAACTGCAGATATTCAGCAACGTAATTACCCTCAATTGTACCCTACAGGTGCCATTCCTTGTTCACAATGCAACATTCAATCTGACATTAACGAACACATCGGACTGTGTATTAAACACCGTGACGCTTGTAAAAATATAATAAGGCGTCATTAGACGATTCTTTTAGATATCATTAATGATTTCGCCAAAGGCTTAAAATACGGACTGAAGGATACTATACAGTCCTCACCATTTTTTGATATATCATTTGACACTTCATCCTTTTTACTTGTTAATACACCATTTAATTCCTGCTGACCTCACCATTATATTTTATAATTACCTGCCAAAAAAGAAAACTCGGTTTCAGGCCCTCTCTTTTATGAATCACATAATGACTAATATTAATTCACAAATATGGAACCAAACGTAGTAAATCATTTAAAGAATATGAACTATTGTTAATATTACGAAAAAGAAGAAAAAGTTGTATTATAAGAAACACTGTGCGCACGTTAAACGTGCAACAAATGGCTCGCCTTCTACTACTTCGCTGCGTCAGAGTAGGGAACATAGACACAACACACGTAACTTTACCCCTTTATCAATTCCATACGCCTGAGCGGGTGGATTTTATGATGCTACAGCACATACCCGTTGGACGTCAAGTAATTTTTTACATTCAGGATCTTGGGAATATCATAGAGATGAAATTTCGTTCGATAATATAGATTTATTTTCTTTTTATGATTATCATGTATTACTTAATTTTGTTAATATTAGTTAGTATTATTTTTATGTTCGTCCATTTATTTTCTTTCCTCGGCGTACGAGTCCCGATAGCGCTCTCGGAGCCCTCTCATTGCTTGTTCTATTTCAAGGCCAAGGTATCATCGTCTCCTTTTGGTCGCGATTTGGTTGTTAGTGTTAGAATTATTTTCAACTTTTTTTTAGCTGTCTGTATAATTTGTACTACAACTTTGTGTACTTAAATAAAAATAAAAATAAAACTTCAAGGGCAAATAATAATCGAGAAATACTTATTTTTTCTCTCAAATACAAAACAAAAAATTTGTCAATCTGTATTATTTTAGTCATAATATCTTGTAAAGTAGTTGTAAGTTTTTAATAAATTTTAACTGAAGATTATAGCTGGAATTATCTGATGATAAAGAAATGTATTATTTTATTTGAGTATTTTAAAACGTGACTATCTTCTTTATCTTCAAGTGTATTACTTTAATGGAAGAAAAATTGCCAGATTTTGTCAAAAATTCAGTCAGTCTTACGTGTATCTTGCTTGTTATGTCTCAGCCTTACACTAAGTAATTTTATTTTATTTATTAAGTTTTTACGCTTGGTCGTGGCTCTACACTTTACAGAAAAAATGGATCAGTTCTAACGAAGCAATAATCCTCGAATTGCAGGCATCACTGGGGAAATTGCGCCGAAATGATGCCTTATCATGCATTATCTGGAAATCAGTAATCTCGGAGAAAACGTGTTGTTTTATACTCCCGGACAATCTTGGTGGAAAACATGATGACAATCGCTCCATGAATAAAGGGTCAGTTGATTATGAGAACGATAAACATCTTTCGGTTTTGAGATTCTCAACAAAGATATTGAAAATCTTACATCTAACATTGAAATTGTTAAACAATATGGCTTTAATCACATTATCATCATCGGGTGCGACCACATGGAGTTCTTGTTATGGCTGTGTATTCGATTGGGTTGGTATGAGTGGTTTATTATGGCCACTTTGGGATTATTCCAAGGTGGCGGAATTCTGAGATTAACTGGTTAGGATGGGTCATGGAGTCTAATGGGACTATTGTTGAAATTGAAGCTGGTATATGCGATTTTTTTTAACCCGAAATATGTTTATAATCTCATTATTTCTCTCTACTTCCTAAACGGATCTCTCTTAAATTCTTATAACCATTTTCTTTCCTTCCAGATTTACCGGAAAAACAACGTAATGACTTCCTAATTTCAGTGAAAGGTAAGAAAACGTCGTTGATGTGATTTCTTTGAATTAGAGATGTTTTTACCTTAAATTTTTTATAACTGTTTTCCTTTCTTTCAGAATCACAAAAAAAACATCATAATACTTTCCAAATTGCAACAAGAAAAAAACAGGAAAAAAAATAAAAGGCGTCGTTAATGTGATTTCTTTGATATGCTAAGATATTACTTTGCTTATTTGCTTCAGTTGTACAATATTATATGTAGTATATTATTTTTCATTATCATATACAGTATATTCTTTTCATATATTCTTTCATTATATGTAGTATATTCTTTTTATAGTTTAACTGTTAATGTAATTTGTTATTAGCTTATTTGCTTTACTAAAATCATGCACATACTGTATTTCTTATCAGTAAATCATTGCTTATTATACTAGTGGGATTTTTTCAAAAATCAAACGCTCTCCGGAAGAAAGGAAGGTATATGATCAACGGATGTTATACATCCAACGAATCAAAACGTTTACTGCAACATTTATTTTCAAATTTAGGTGCGGACGATATCAAATATGTAGCGACCCAACATGATACGTAGTTTGTTATGTGAATTTTAGGTAGTACATATTAGTATAGTCTACCTTTTATAGTAGTATATTTGTAGTTTAATCGTAGAATCAAAAATATTAAAGGGAAAGCTTCCCCGGGTATTTTGCAAATTGCAAATTGATCACTACTATTATATCTATATCACTCCGCTATAAATCAAATTTTTATTAATGAATAGAATCTGTTTAAAAATTATGTATAATATATAAGTAAAATTAAATTTTTTTTAAATAATAAATCAATAAAAAATGAACTATCTTATTTTTTTTCAGGGAGATACTATGAATGGGTACTACTTCTCCTGGGGGACGAAAAGGTATATCTATATACAGCTACAAGGGAAGGAGGAGTAAAGAGGGAGGTCTTTTGTCCAAACTTAATGTGAACTTACATTTTATTTTATGTTCTTTATCATTTAATAAATAAAGTATTGCGTTTACCCTAAAAAGAAAAAAAAATTCCTAACCCATTGGATTTTCTGTCCTGGTTGCGTTCAGATAAGTACCTACAATTAAAAAAAAAATGAAGAAGCGTTAGTAAAAGTCTTACTAACATTCTCTAACTTCCGATTTCCATCCATTCTGAAGTCAAATGCCAAAATCAATCTCACATCTCAATGAATTAATATTTGTAGGTGAAGATTTTCTTTAATGTTATGAACACTTTTCTAAACAAAGATTACATTATAATAATATCACCCTCATCAGATCTATTATTTGATCCTCATGATTTTTTTCGTCAAAGTCAAAAAAAGAAAATATTATGTAAATAATATCCTGTTCATTTAAAGATAGTAATTAAAAATATTTTCTTTCGTATTATGATACTTGCATTATGATACTCATACTTGCGATCATTTAATCCGGTTCAAAACATGTCATAAATTCATATTATGAACGATAATATAAATTATTATTTTGCATAAGAAAAAAACATTAAATATTGGTTTCAATGTATTAATCTCTCGCTATTCTTTGTGTATTAAGAGTTATACGACCATATTAATTAAATCAACAACCAAGAATTTCCAAAAAAAATTCCCTTTTGCACGCATATTTATCTTGTATATAATACAGTCAACTTAGGCCAAATTTGTAATGCTGTCCAGAATCATAATTTCTTCTTTTTTTTTTGTTGTCATTTCTTTTTTAACGAAAAAATTACTAGTAATTCTGGCCAGCACTATAAATTCGGCCTGGACTACTATATAGTCACATGAGCGTTCGTTATAGAAAGTATAAAGTTATTATAAAATAAATATGGCTGGTTAAGTTCGGTTCGGATGCGTTATATAGTGTTTTATTATAAGAGTTCTAAAAGTTCGTTATATCCAGTGAAATTATTTATAAAAATCGGTTCTGGAAATTATGGTTCGGTATAACGAGGTTTCGGTACAAACAGGTTCGTTATAACCAGAGTCGACTGTATTTATAAATAAAATTCATTTCATTAAAATACAAAAAACTATTAAATATATAATAAAGAAGAATTCCATTTTTTCAAAAAAAAAAATATTACTTTGTGATTTAGTAAATTATCCAACAAAATAACACTCGAATAAATTTTGATTGAGTAAAATATAATCTTAGAAAGAATGACATGGCCACTTTCGAACGTATAGGATGCTTTTCTGGGATTACTCGTATCTAAAGTAGCTCATCAATTTTAATATATGTTTACAGATGCAATTTCTACTCCTGTATTATATATTAGAGTTGTGTGCTATTGATAATGGGTTAGGCTCATTAAATTTTTTGCCTGGTAGATCTCGATTTGCCTGTAGGTCTCATGGTTTAGTTAATAGAATTTGTATTATGTCAGATGGCTGGCATAACCGAAACAGAATAGTAGAAAAAATTATATTATTCAAAAAAATCATTTGTTTTCGTGTGGGAAATTATTTTTACAATACAGTAACACAAATTTTTATATTATGAAAATGTTACATCATTTTTTTACATAATTTATTTATTTTACATAATAAAATACGATTGTATGATAGATAATCTTACATCCTTTCATTTGCTTTGGATTATAAATATCTAACATATCTATAAAAAAAAAAAACTCTTTTATCATTATGGCTATAATTTTTTATAAGGAGATAATAAATAATTATAAAAAATTATATGAATCCAAGGAAGGATACGATGTAAAAATTTATGCTGGTGAAAAACCAAATGTAAAAGAATTCCATGTTCATTCACTCATATTAAAATCCCAATCTAAAATTTTCCAAACTCTTCTTACCAAAGATATTCAGAAAAAGGATGGTTATTATATTTTAAATTTAAATAATAATTCACCTAAATTTGTTGAAATAATTTTAAGGTATTCTTTTCTTTTTTTTTTTAATCTAATTTTATTAAATAGCTTTAAATGATGAACTAATATTATATTTTCTTTTTATAAAGTTGTATGTACAGTGGAAGTTTTGATTTAACAAAATTACAATCTTGTGAAGAAATAATAAATCTCTTATTATTATCAAATGAGCTCGGATTTCAATATTTAGTTAAATGCATTCAAGAAACTTTGATTGAAAATTATGATTTTATTATTAAAAATGCTATTGAGATTATTGTATTAACTTATCAAAAACATTATTTAGATAATTTATGGAATTTCTGTCTTAAAAAAATTTGTGATAATCCTGATCACTTATTTAAATCAACTAAATTTCTTACCTTTAATCCGTCTATTTTAGCAATAATTTTAAAACGAGACGATTTTTGTATTGATAATGAAATCATTGTTTGGGAAAATTTATTAAAGTGGGCATGTGGTCAGAATCCTGTTATTCAACAAGATATTAATAAATGGAAAAAAAGTGAATTTACGGCGATGAAGAGAAGATTAAGCAAGTTTATTCCATCGATTAGATTTTATCATATACCTCCAGAAGATTTTCTTCTAAAAGTATATCCTTTTAAAGAAATATTACCAAATGATTTAATCAATAACATATTTACATATCATATGGCACCAAGTAAAAGACAATGTATTAATTTACAGCCTCAACGAAAACAACCAGCCATAATTACGCCTCAATATTTTAATATTTTTTCTAGTTGGATTGACAAGAAAAATAATTCTTATTATAATGGAAGAAATATTCCATATAAATTCAATTTACTTTATAGTGCTGGTAGAGATGGTAATACAGGTGCAGCGTTTCATGAAAAATGTGATGATAAAGGTCCTACTATAGTTGTAGCAAAAATTGCAAATTCAGAACAAATAATTGGAGGTTATAATCCATTGGATTGGAAACCAAAGAATTCAAATCATAGTAATTATAATAAGTCTACAAAAGATAGTTTTATATTTTCATTTATGGACAGAAATGAATTTCAAACCGCAAAAGTAAGTTATCCTATTGAAGGGAATCATAAATATTCTATTTGTTGTGTACCAGATCATGGGCCAAGATTTGGTGTCGGTCTTGATTTAGTATGTCATGATAATGGTAATTGGGCAAGTAATTCATATACTTATTCTAAAATTGATATTCCACCAATGTTTACCGTAAATGATTACGAAGTATATCGAGTTAATAGGTCAGAATATTATTATTAATACAACAATTCATATCAAATAAAAAAAAATCTTAATGATTATTTCTTCTTCATCTTCTCGACAATCATGTCATTACTTCAATTTAATTGATTCATTAAATCCAAATCTTGAATTATTTTAAACTAATTTTTTCTACTTTTGCTTTGCAGCAGATGTTGCAGGTATGGACCGATTCAAACCTAAATCTTCATTGTTTGTTGATATATATAGGATAGTGCAATTATTTTCATTTCTGATTGTTAAGGTAAACCCAATCCAAACATTACCTTTGAGTTTGCATCTTAAAAGACATTTGTGCAAATAATTCATACACTTATCCTAAAGTCGACATGCCACAAAGATTTGTCAAGTTATTAAAATAACGCGTGAGTGACTGCATTACGTACTTATATATAATATTTGTTTCTTTATATGAATAAATTTGAATAAATTTAATATTGTGCGATTCGTCTTGCATACTGCCGTATATAAAATACTATTTTTGTGTTATTGCCAATTCTTAATACAAATACAGGCAATATTGTGACCGAGTGTAATCCTGGAGGGAACAGTGAAATAAGATTTAAATTATTCGTCCACGGGTAAACAGACTTTTATGCCTTGGATAGATCTCACTGTTCCGATTAAAAGTTAAAGAAATGATTCTCGTTCTGTACACAAGTTGCTTGGTAAGAAATAAGAATAAACTCTTACATAATATATATTTCTTAGTCACGAACTCACGATATAGACTCATTGTAACGTTTTTTACGTATCAAAACGGTAAAGTTGATTAATTTGTTTTTAATTTAGAAAACGGATAAAAGAAATCACGACGATCGAGTCTATTCACCTTTTCTATTTCATAATGGTCTAGAGTCATATATCAACATTTTCTACTTCGAAACTTCGAATAACAAAAATAGGTACAGTACATAGTCAAGAACGTATACGCGTAGTACGAAAATTATACGGAGCCAATATATTGTATATATTCATCTCATTCCTTGTTTTATTTTTCAGAATATGAAATAATTGCGATGGTTATCAGAGACCATTAACAGACTTGGATTATTCTTGTAAATAATCTCCATTATCACGACGAACAAAATATCTGAATTTTAAAAACCTACTTTAAGTTGATCTCATATAAATTTTTGTATTTTCGGGTGAATACTCCTATGTTTTTAACATGTACTGTATATATAGTATTCGGTGAGGCATGGGTGTGTAATAACTGTTAATACGTAATTGTTATAATGAATCAGGAGTGAGTATAGTGTACAATATTAATAGGTGCAATAACCATCTGAATAATGAGACTCTAAATTTCGTTAGTAAATAGATAAAAAAAATCATGTGAAAAAATTTCATTGGTTAGAACCGTAAGCATTTTTTATTTTTTCTTACACTATATATCGCACAATATAAACATGTTATATAATCATAATGGTATAAACATCCAAAAGAATTAAGTAGTTTCTTCCTGCAGAGCTTACTCTTTGAAATCACCTTCTTGACCTCCCTTCCCAGCGGTATTAAGCAACCCTATATACTCTCCACAACTGGTAAGGACTAGAATGTTTTTGCTTAGCTTTAACTACCCATCCATTATTATTTGTTTCAACTGCTGTTGCACACTCAGTTTGGTTTTCTCTGGAACAAATGAAACAAGGTTCTTCTGTACTAGGTTCAAATAGCCAAGGACTTCCACTATCTGTAATATTGAGTTGTTTGGAATCACCATTGTATTGGACGAATCCACCATTAATGTATTTGATAAAATTTCCTTTAGGTAAAGGTTGAATTATCCATCTAGCAGGATTAACACCCCCTGGGTATAAAACAACGCCATCATTTACATCCCAATAAAGATCACGACCGAGTAATTGAATTATTGATTGACCGGGTATTATATGATGTTGACTTAAAACAACAGCAGTAAGGGTGGTTAAAAGGAGCAAAAATAAGTTAAATTTCATTTTGAATTTCTATCGGTTTTTACTTTTTGAAGAAGTTTTTTTATTTTTCAAATAGTGTGGAGTTTAGGCATATTTATACATGAATATAAAGGCTAATGCTTAGCGAAGGTTTAAGCCTGATGCTTAGATGAAGTTGCTCAAAAAGAATTCTCTCGCCTAAAAGGATTATTGATACTTAGGCTACGGAATTAAATCGTGACACGTTATTTGCGTTGTCAGTAGCAAGCTTTGAATGATGAAGCTTCGAATAGATGATCACCAAGCATCTGATATTTTTTGCTATACGCTGCTCGTGGAGCTACGCCATCTTGACATGTCACATGGCATTACGTTATCAGTTATATAATGGCTTAGCAGGCTTTGAAATGTTTAGAAATCTCTAAACTTTTGCTATGTGCTGTTCATCTATGTTTTCTTGAAAAATAATGGCGGTATCAAACTGGTAAAAGAATCAAGCCTCCATGGTGGTAAAATGTCATATGTGTTCGATTATAATATTGCCACTGAAATATTTCAAGCATTGGCTATATTAACGATGCCAACTTCAAATACTCACACCAAGTTCTTGAAAAGACCCATCTTTATCAATCATTCGGACCTGTGACTGATATAACTACACCTCCATTCAATAATAGATACAGTACTTGTTAAAATTTTTTATATTGAACCATAATTACAAAAATTACAATGGATGAATGAAATTTTTTTTTTGATAATGTTTCTTTAATTAATTTCGATACATCAACTAAATGTTTATACTTGAAATGCAACACATGATCTATAAATGAATCTACCGTGTATAATGATGCTTTATTGTTTTTTTTTTTTTTGGTTACTATTATAAATTTTTACTTTAATCAATTAATTATTAGCGATAATTTTTAAATATATTACTGAAATGCATTTAAAATTATAGTATTATTGGTCCGAAGTGTAATGAAAGACTATATATTCATACGCTAACGTAAAATAACATAATTTCAAGTTATTAATTTAGAGTGGCACAGTTTATACTTCGCTTTCAACTATAATTGAAATCAGCCCCAAAATCTTAATGGCTTACCTAGCTAATAACTGGTCATTTAACCGGTTAAACTTAATTTTGGCTGGACATCTTTGATCATAACAAATTAAAAGGATTTTTTTTTAAGTAAAATTTTTATAAGCATTTACTTAATTCTGACCGAAATACTAAAACTTAACAGATTAAACAAATCTTTAACCGGTTAATTGGTTAACAGCCTTAACTAGCTATAACCTTGAATTAACAATTAATGACTTTCAGATGATGTAATCGTAAAAAAAATATGTATTGATTCAAAATTTGAAAGTACGTGTTATCGAAAAAAAAAAAAAAATTCGTAATCATGCATTTGCCTTTGCTATTGTTTCATCAGGTAATATACAGTTTTTTACTAAATTTACATTAATATTAATTATCAAATTATAAATATTTTTATAAATATAATGTAGAAGCGTTGGTTTTAAAACGAAAAGGTTAATATCTTTGAATGAATATTGTGTAACATTATTTTTTTTTTCTGGTGCGTGAAAAATAAACGTAGATATATATAATAAACATAATAGTAAAAAAAAGTTTTTATTGTCCGAAGCGGAGTTGAGAAATTTTACATTCTATGCAAAATCATGCCTGTCCTACACGTGATTTATATACACGTGCCATATATAACACTGCAATTATTAACTGTTAAGGCATTATAAGCTTAATACTTTTATACTATTAGCTTATTAATTTCGATACTATTAGTTGCTTAAAATTAGACTTTATTAAACTTTAGTTTAACCTTCATAAGATGTATATAATAAATTTAGTTGTTTTTAAATTATTTCTTCATGTAATTTAAGATTCATTAATAATAAACGGAAAAATATAATAAATGAAAGAAATATACTGTAACTTATAACTAGTGTAATTTATTTTCGTTATTAAAATCTTAAAATAATAAATTAAAATATAAAATAGATAGCCAGCCTGTATTTATTCATCCTGAAACAGTTAGAAAACGCAAAATTAGAACTCATAATCAATGTGAAAGACGTTGTGCTCGTGATGTTTATAAATCGTTGCAAAATATAACACCAATAAGATTTTACTTTGGAAAAACGTGCAGCGTGACGGACGTTTAACGGTCACCGTTACCTAGTTATAAACATGACACTGACAGGTTGTTACGAGCGTCTTGTAACGTTTAAATTAGATTTAAATACATTAAATTTTTGCAATAAATACTATAATTCTTTTTAAATGAAACTCGAGTTGTACTGTTTGCCATCATTAAAACTTGATCCTAATTATTTTTATTATTCTCTTATAATTATTATATATTTCTCTTATCATACTTTCATACGCCTCATCATTCACCATTAATATGGAAATCTGAAAATTTATTATTGTTTCGGCTCAATATCATGGTAAGTAAATATAGTTAATCAGTTGGACCAATTCATTTAAACTACTAAATCCAGTAATACATGTATCAATAATATTATATATATAATTCAACGAAAGAAGTTATCCAATTGATGAGAATCAACAATATTCTATATGAATTATCGGCCAACATTTGGTGAGATATTAATGTGAAGTATTTCAAGTTATTAAAAAGTAAATAATTTAATATAGTACATGTATCGTCTTTATACATATGATACCGTTAAATACATATAAACCGCGATACTGTCTTAACGTTAAAATTATTTTAATTATTTTAAGAATTATGATTAAGTTATACTCGAATCCGACACATACTTATTGGTTTTGCGCAGAAATATTTAATGAATCAATTCTCTTGTCGACTGCTTATACCTACAAAATTATTGTACAGTATACAACTATGCATTTAACGACCAATGCTAATTTCTTTTTAGATTTAAATCTTTATTATAAAAATATTTTAAAAAAAAATATATTTATCAAAACAGTAATTCATTTAAGTATAAAGAACTATATACTTTAAATATACAAAAAAAAATACTCGGATCAAAATTTAAGTATTTTGAAGACTACGTTTCTTTACAATTCTATATACTTCATATTCGTCAATTGTAAAACTATTATTTGGCAGGCTAACGCTGGAATAAGTGCTTCCATTACTAGTACTCCAGGTAGTATTTCCTTGTGCGCGCAAATCATGCCCACTACCAAAAGTTGGTCCATAATTACTATGATAATATATTGCATTATTAGAATTATTGCAACGTCCTACTTTAGCAGAATTAAGGTCACTGATATTTGTTATATTAAATATGAAACTATCATTCGAACTTGCATATGCTTCCGTTTGATACCAATTTAATGGATTATAGCCACCAATAATTTGGTTTTGATTATTACTGACTCTTGAAAAAGAAATTGTAGCTCCTTTATCGTCACATAATTGATGAAACTTTGCAGAACCAAATCCATCTCTAGTGCCACGAAGTAGTAGTTCGAACCTATATGGCATGGTTTTTTTAGTATAATCTTCATTTGTTTTATCGATCCACTTAGCAAAGCGCATAAATACATTATTATCAATTAAAATGGATTTATGTTTGCGACCTCTAGAAGGTTTAAAATTTAGCATCGGTGTAGAATCCGGAACCATATGATATCGAAGGACATCATGGATCAAATCTTTAGGCAATAGATCTTTATAAGGATATACTTTTAAATAAAAATCTTCTCTAGAAATGTCATAGAATCTAATTAATGGAATAAATTCTTTTGTAGTATTTTTAAAATTTGCTATGTCTTCTGATGATAATTTAAAATTATCATCATCAAACTTTAAGTTATGAACGAAGAGCCATCTAATAATAGAATCCCATATGTCTATTTCTTCCATATTAAGATCATCTCTTTGAAGTACCATGATAATAATTTCTTTTTCCAATGATGAAAAATTTTTAGACGAAAAAAGAATCATTGGTTCTTCGCTAATAATTTCTAGGCAATAATCCTTTAGACGCTCAAATGGTTCGTGTTGGTAAATAACTTTAAGTGTACTAACAGGATCCTTATACGTAGATTCTTCGTTATTAATTAAATCATCTTGAATTTGGTCAATCAATTTATCCAATCCTAATTCATCGGACGCAAATAGACATTGCAAAATCATTTCTTTACTATGTTGACTTAAATCCGCAATTCCTGTGTATAAATATCTGGAATATTTAAAAAATTTTAACATTATTAATAAAAGACTATATTTTTAAATAAATAAAAAATATTGTACTTACTTGAGAATTAATTTGAATACTTCAACAGAGATATTTGGTTTTTTAAAAATAAAGTTACCATTATCATCCTTTTCCTCCCAATTTTCAGATAACGCTCTCTTAAAATATGGACATCTAGTACGAAGCACAAATGAATGAGCTCGGAGTTCTTTGGGTTCTTCTCCGGCTTTGATAATTACATCATAATTCTCTTCATTTTCAAGTGCCCTTTCAAAGTCTTTAATAACCTCTAACACATGAGATGATGACATGAATAATAATATGATTATAAATATTGATTTATCTAAATAAGATATATTCAGAATAAAAAAAAGTTGTGAAAATGAAATATTTACGAAGGTGGGAATATATCCGTGCTTATTAATAAAATAGACTAGTTTTGTAGGTTATTTCCATAAAAGTGGTCATTCACCAAACCTTATCAATCTATTAGATTCTTGTGACACGGTGAAGCGTACAAAATAACTTTTTTAATTATTTCAAAACGGTATGCTTCATTTACTTCATTTTTTTAGTTCTCAAATAACAAAAATAATTGAAAATGCGGGATTTTAATGACCTATATTTTTTCCAATATTAGTAGTAGTATTAATTCCTATTAGTCACCGCAGTATTCCTTATTACATAATGTGACTTCATTTATTTATTCTCCGAACGACCGAACCAATTTAGTTGTGGCCACCGAAAATCAGGTGAGAATGATCATTTCAGCAATTCGCCAAAAAATTGAATTTATCAATAAACTAAGAATGTTTCAGTTACAAGAATATTAAAAATAATTATAAATAGAATTTCTATTATTTCCATGATAGGGGTGCAGCCGTGCAGGCTTTACTCATTAAGTTAATGAAAGGTTGTAACTCGTGACGTAGCTCGCCGCTTTTTTTTTTTAAAAGAAAATATTCGCCGGTAAACAATAAAAACAATAACGACCAAAAGTAACAAAAACCTGTTTGCCATGGTAAAGAAACACGTAACACTCATAAAGTATAATAGTAATTAACTATATGACATAACAAATATTGAATTGTACTAAGATTAGGTATACAAGTGAAATATTGTTAACTTTTTCCTTATAGGACCTGTACAGTACATGTTTATTATAGTTGCGTATAAAACACTAACTAGATTCATTTAATATTACTCATGATTTATGATTAACTAATAAAGTAATATCTGATAAAAAAGAGATTAAGATAACAGATAATGCAAAGCATCTAGATGAGCGACAACTTGAGTTTCAACAAAGAAAACAATATAAAAAAAAATTATATGTTGAACTTTAGAGATCGTCATGAATGGCGCAGTAATAATCGTAGAAAAGTTTAAAATATATGAGCTTAGAAAAAGTAATTACTCAAGTACTTCCACTATAAAAATTTTATAGAATACAATAATAACGTGACAATTTACCATTACGTATGGTTTATATAAACATTATAACAATCAAATTTTGTAAAAATATTTTTCTATTCTCCCGCAGTATTTTTCATGATATTTTGCTGAACGAAACATATAAAATTAATACAGAACAAATTTTTTTTTTAGATTTATTCAATTTAAATAATATGAGAAATTATTAGGATTTATTAACATCATCAAAAATTAATTATTAATTATATTCAAAGGCGTATTTATAATCAAAAATTTTATGCAACATGATCGATTTCTGCTGAACTGAAACAAGAGTAAGGTTTAAGTTATTAAGGATTTAAACAAGAAGAGTAAGGTATAAGTTTTTAAGAGCTTGGGAAATACATTGTGGGAATATGTAAGGCCATTTCAAACTAATAATTAGTTTATATCAATAACTAAAAAAAAGTTACCTTCTCACTAATATATAATAAAAACACGCGTTTTTTTACCACTTTGCGACAATTAAATGAATTAATCCAAATTTGAGACCTTTTTAAAGACCAAAAATTTCTTTAGTGTATAAGAAGTCAGCTTTTAAATTTTAGCTACAAGTCATTTATAAAATTTTTTCTTTTTCTCTTTATTTTTATTATAAGTCTCACATTTTAAAAATATAATAAAAATATGAAATTCGAAATTCCTTTATTATAATGTCAAATTATGAAAAACGTTCAATTAAGGGAAAAAAATCACCGGTCAAAATTTATAACTATCACTTCATTTTAAAATAACTTCAAAACTTTAAATACTTCATATTCATCAATTGTAAAATTACTATTTGGCATGCTAATGTTGGTATAAGTATCCCCAATATTAGTATACCATGTTTTTCCTTGTGCTCTCAAATCATGCCCATTACCAAAAGTTGGTCCATAATTACTATGATAATATATAGCATTATTACTATTATTACTTCGACTTATTTTAGCAGAATTAAGATTATCAATATCTGTTATATTAAATAAAAAGCTATCATTTGTACTAGCGTATGAACTATTCTGATTCCAACCTAAAGGATTATAACCACCAATAATTGGTTTTGAATTTTCAACTCTTGCAAAAGAAATTGTAGCGCCTTCTCCGTCACATAATCGATGAAACTTTGCGGAATCAAATCCATCTCTTGTCCCACGTAAAAGGAGAATAAACTGGTATGGCATATTTTGGCGGGTATAATCTTCATCTTTCTTATCGATCCACTTCGCAAAAAGCTTAAATACATTAAAATTCACTAAAACAGAATCAAATTGATTCCTAGAAGGTTTGAAATTCAACATTGGAGTAGAATTTGGAACCATATGATATCTAAAAATATCATTGAGCAAATCTTGAGGCAAGAGATCTTTATATGGATATACTTTTAGATAAAAATCTTCCTTGGAAATATCATAGAATCTGATTAATGGAATGTATTCTTTTATAGTCTGTTTGACATTTACCAAATCTTCTGATGACCACTTAGATTCATCTTTATTGATTTTTAAGTAATGAACAAAAAGCCATCTAAGAAGAGAATCCCATATGTCAATTTCTTCCATATTAAGATCATCTCTTTGAAGTATCATGGTAATAATCGGTTTTTCTAATGATGAGAATTTTTCAGATGAAAAAAGAATTTGAGGATCTTCACTAATAATTTCTAAACAATGATTCTTCAAATTTTCGAATGGTTCATATTGAACAATGATTTGAAGTATTCCAATTGGATCCTTATATGCAAATTCTTCGTTAATAATTAAATCATATTGAATTCGCTCAATCAATTTATCCAATCCTAGTTCATCAGCCGCAATAAGGGATTGCAAGATTACGTCTCTGCTGTATTGATCATAATATATAATTCCAGTATATAAATACCTAGAAAAAAGTAAGGAATAAGCTATTTATTAAGGCAATATAATAGTTGAAGAAAAATAATTTACTTGCCTGAGAATTAATTGGAATCTTCAACAGAGACATTTGGTTTTTTGAAAATAAAGTTACCATCATCGTCCTTTTCCTCCCAATTTTCAGATAATGCTCTTTTAAAATATGGACATCTAGTACGAAGCACAAATGAATGAGCTCGAAGTTCTTTAGGTTCTTCACCGGCTTTGATAATTACATCGCAATTCTCCTCGTTTTCTAGGGCCCTTTCAAAATCTTTAATAACTTCTGACATGACATGATTAGATAACATTATAAGTAATAAATAAATAACGTCAATTTTCTTACTGAATAATTTATGAATAAATATTAATTAAGATTGCCAATAAATTTATTTTTCCACGTTAATAAAAAAATATTTAGAAAACGAAAAAATGTAAGAAATTTTTATAATAGACGTATGACATTTGCATATCATGCAGAATTTAGGTGACAAAGCCGTGCTTATCAATTGTTTTTTTATGTTTTGCAAATTATTTCTGTAGATCATGCTATTGTCTTGCGGATGTTAATGTTATACATTGACGGATAACAATTTTTTACAAAAAAAATCTAGTCCTCATAATAAGAGGAGCGTAACATTTGACATCCTAAATTACGTAATTTTGCAGCAGTGCAGATCAGCGTTGTTGAAATTGTTTTGTTAAATCACTAGGATCTACATATTAGACGATTCTTTGAAAAAGATTAGATTTCCTTCCAATGTTTTTATCTTCCTTCGTAATTCGTTGTGCCAAGACTACGCCATCCTTATTCACCCCTTTTTTAATTCTTTTTGATAATTTGCTATTTGTCCGAAACGAAGGACTATATAACTTCTATACTGTCCGTCTATCCATCCGGCACGTGACGATGTACGTTAAAGCATTTCGGAGTTTGGACTAATACTCATATCAGTCATATGAATAAAAGTTACTAAAATTACTCATGCAAATATGCAAACAATAATTCCTTATGACGTGTAACACATGATCTTGATGTGGGTTTTTGTTATGAGTATATAATCTTTAAAATAATATAAATATGTCGGTTTTCTTTTTTATCTCCCCTTACCCTTCCGTTCTCCCTTTCCCTTTCGTCTTTTCGCTTTCGTTCTCCTCTTTCCTCTCGTTCTCCCCCTTTCCCTTTCGTTCTCCCTTTCCCTCTCGTTCACACCTTTCCCTCTCGTTCTCCCCTTTCCCTCTCGTTCTCCCCTTTCCCTTCCGTTCTCCCCTTCCCTCTCGTTCTCCCTTTTCCTTCCGTTCTTCCCTTTCCCTCTCGTTCTCCCCTTTCCCCTTTCCCTTTCGTTTCACCTTCCCCCCTGATCAATGTTGCTGCACCTCAACGTGGTGATCAGGTGACAACAAGTTTTTTAAAAGACTTGGCTAAGTCAGCAACAAATAGTAATTACATAAGAATTTGTTCACTTTATTAATTTATTAAATTGATTCATATAAACGTAACTAAATAAATAATTTGATATATCTAATTTTAAGACTATTTGATTTTGAAGTTTTCCATGATAACATTCTTAGGACTAGCACGCTGAAGAAATTGTTAACATTCAAATTCAAACAATGATTTAAAAATCCTTTCATTCATATTCCTTTTTTTTTGTAACACTGATTGATATTTTTCATAATCAATTTTTTTTGTTTAATGTTGAAATAAAAAAAGATCTTGAGTAAATAAACGCGAAGGACTTTATGTCGTTTTCCTAGTTTAAAAATTTGTTTTTATTTTATAATGAATAAACTTTTTGATTATTACAACAACTAACTAAAAAAATCCTTCCAATGACGAATTCTATTAAATATCATAGTGAGATTTAATCGCTCTTACGCTAGCTTCCTGATTTTCTATAAAATAACTATTAAAAGAATAAGAAGAAGTTTTTATATTTTTCGTTTGTTTTCGCGTAGAAAATTTTTGTATGTCGAAGTTTTATATTAAATAGCTATGTAGAATTGTCATCTCTGAAATACTATAGTAATAATGGTTTTCTAATGATGGATTTTCCAGACAGAAAGAACATCTTGGTTTACTGATTTACATGCAATAATTCTTAAATCTTCGAATTTTTATGATCTGACGGGTTCTTATGAACATATTCTTCTTGAATGTGTATCAAATTATCACGTAAATTGCTTGATTTATAATCTGCAATTCAGATACTTAAAAAATCAAGAAAAATTCGTTATTGTTGAAACATTACGGACGATATTAGTTTATTGAAAAAACGAGAACATAGTACTCCAAAAGGGACGGGTCAGATCCAGGTGATTGACCCGATCCGAATTTTAAATCGATTAATCTTGATAATTTTAATGACTTGTGACCCGCATGACTCGACTCATCGGGTTAGGTTGCTTTGACCCAGTGACCCTGTGTTTGTTCGATCAACATTTGATAAAAAATTACTCGTAGATGGAAGTTTTTTTATCTACGCGCCGCACAAATTGTAGGATATATAATATAAAATGTATAGTTTTTATAATTTTTAATTTTGAAAATTTTACGCCTAAATAAAATTTTAATGTACACAACTTTATTATTATAAATAAAATAATAAATAGAAGTTCCATCTGAATTTTTATTTAAATTCGAAGTTGACAGGTAGACTATAAAGTTCGATCGACTCAAAATATTCAAGTCAAACCACATAAATACTCGGGTTGAATTCAAACATCTCTCAAACCCAGCCCGATTTGTCCCGTATGGAGCACTACTCATTGTTCTTCTTACTCATCTCGTTATTAATAATGGATAATAAAATTTTATCTCTAAAAATTTTTATAATAATTTATTGAATAATTCCCTCAATCGAATAAGGAATAAACCAAGAAAACTTAAGTTCAGACAAATAAAATATTTAGAAAGCTTTATTCCGAATGGGTATTAAAAGAGTATACAGTATATATAATAAATGATTTAAAAAACATGCTTTTTTCTATACTTTGAGACCTTAAATTAATTAATCCAAAATCTAAATTCGAGAATGTTCTGAAGATCGAAAAATCTCTTTAAGATGAATTTATCTATATATGATGTCGGCCTTTAAAATTTAATTATAAGTCATTTGTAAAATTTTTACTATTTTTTACTGCAGGTCTCACATTTTCGAAACTTTTAACGATTTTTTTTGGAAGAATATAATAAAACAAAAAAAAAAAAATATTAAATTTTTTTATTATAATTTCAAATTATGAGTAACATACTTTTCAATTAAGGAAAATAATTCACCAGTCAAACTTTAAAACTATCACTTCATTCTAAATTAACTTTTCTTCAAAACTTGAAATACTTCATATTCATCAACTGTAAAGCTATTATTTGGCATGCTAATGTTAGTATAAGCATTTCCATTATTAGTATACCATGTTTTTCCTTGTGCGTTCAAATCATGTCCACTACCAAAAGTTGGTCCATAACTAGCGTGATGATATACTGCGTAACTAGAATTATTACAACGACCTATTTTAGCAGTATCAAGGTTATCGATATCTGTTATATTAAATAAGAAGCTATCATTTGTACTTCCGTATGCACTATTCTGATACCAATCTATAGGATTATAACCACCAATAATTTGCTTTGAATTTTCAATTCTTGCAAAAGTAATTGTGGCACCTTTGCTATCACATAATTGGTGAAACTTCGCGGAATCAAATCCATCTCTTGTCCCACGTAAAAGAAGAGTAAACTGATATGGCATATTTTGTTGAGTATAATCATCATCTTTCTTATCGATCCACTTTGCAATAAGCTTAAATATATTAAACCTAATTAAAACAGAGTCAATTCTACGACTCCTAGAAGGCTTGAAATTCAATTTTGGAGTAGAATATGGAGCCATATGATATCGAAGGATTTCATCGAGTAAATCTTGAGGCAAGAGATCTTTGTATGGGTATACTTTTAGGTAAAAATCTTCTTTGGAGATATCATGGAACCTTATTAATGGAATATATTCTTTTATAGTTTGTTTAACGTTTTTCAAATCTTCTAATGACCATGTAGAATGATCTTTATTGATCTTTAAGTAATGAACAAATAGCCATCTAAGAAGGGAATCCCATATATCAATTTCTTCCATATTAAGATCATCTCTTTGAAGTATCATAGTAATAATTGGTTTTTCCAGTGATGGGAATTTTTCAGATGAAAAGAGCATTCTTGGGTTTTCACTAATTATTTCTAAACAGTAATTTTTTAGATCTTCAAATGGTTCATGTTGGTAAATGACTTGAAGTGTGCTGATGGGGTCTTTATTGATAAATTCTTTATTATCTAATAAACATTCCTGAATGCATTCGATCAATTTGTCCAATCCCAGTTCATCAGCCGCAACGAGGGATTGCAAGATAATGTCTTTGCTAAGTTGATCACAATCTACAACTCCGGTATACAAATATCTGGAAAATTTTATTATATTAGTAATAGGCATTTTAAATCGCTAGGAAAAAAAAATCAATAAATTATTTTTACTTACCTGAGAATTAGTTGGAAGACTTCAGTGGAAATATTTGGTTTTTTTAAAATATAATTACCATTATCGTCTCTTTCCTCCCAATCGCTAGATAGTGCCTTCTTAAAATACGAACATCTAGCACGAAGTACAAACGAATGAGCTCGAAGTTCCTTATGTTCACCTGTTTTAATTATTACATCGCAATTATCATAATTTTCAAGAGCTTTCTCAAAGTCTTGAATAAGTTCTTGACAATAGTTGGAGGAAGACATTGTGATATATCATATAGTGTAATCAAATCAGGAAACCAATTTGTGCGATTTTCTTTCTTCTTATGAACCTTTATATCTTTTTTTTCAAACTAAATTAACTTTTTCTATTATTAAACACATACCGCAATATAGCAGGCGAAACTAGTACGATAAAGTTAAGGGTTACCGCAGTAAATTCGGAAATTTTTTATATAAACTGATAAGTGTGATGATAATATTATTAATAAATTTTGCACTATAGGTATTTTGATACAAAAAAAAAATCATACAAAATTTCAGATTCGCTATTCTTAGAAGTGAAAAATAGTAAAAATAAAGGTTTGCCAAATATACTAATATAATTTTGTCATACAAGCAGGAAAAATAGTACGACTGGAATTTTATTGGTAACAGAATGAATAAATTCGCTCGTTAGCGTTTTTCGAATATAATGAAGAATAAACATACTGTATATAGTATTTTCATAGATAAAAAAAACAAATATCATGTGCGTGATTTGCAGTATAACAATAATGAGCCAATCATCTTCGCAATTATTATTAAATAGAGCTTCTATCGTAAAACATATTTTATAATTAAACGTCAAAATGACCTATAATAATATATGAACTGGACTTATCGTTATGGCGGTGATGCTAATTTTGTTAATGAATCGCCGCATTCTTAACCTGAGTCGCTGCATTTTGATTCATCGTGCAAATCATGCGACTTTCTTCTTATCATTCAGTCGTTAAGCTCAGAGAGAACGAGAAACGATTCGAAATTTCCCAGAAGAGAGAAAAATTTAACAAATTTACTCAGAAAAAATTATCAAAGAGATGCCAATTATTTAGTAAGTAACGGTGCAAAATTGCATACTTCTCACGGTGAAGCTGCACTTTTCATAATAGTTTGACAATATTCATTATTTAACTTATGCAAGAATTGACAAACTTTTCTTAACACCACAGGAGATGTGATAAGTTATTGAAAATAAATGGGTTAATTGCTTTTCTGAATTCGTGTTTGCTGAGTAAAATACAATGAATGACTAACAACATTATCGTTTATCTTCCGGTCTGACATAGGTACCGGAACTTTTCTTCCAAATTCAAATATCTGTGTTATAGGAAGAATAATATGTAAATAGGAGAATCTTCTTTCTTTTCAATAGTCTGCTGATGGCTCCCGATTAAATTCTTCCACTTGGACGTGACTATGGCGGACAAGAAATATCAAATATGAACTCCAAGTTTTGCCACGTCACATTAACGATTAGAAATGATAAATTAATTGGATATTTATTTCTGCTTAAAATTTAAAATTGATCCGGAAACGTCTAAATCACGTGGTCGATTCACACTTTTTTAGATGTTAAATATTTTATTAAAAATAAATAAATAAACAAAATCGATGAAGAAAATAAGAATACTAACAATACCAAGTAAATTAATATGCTAAATTATTTATTGTTTTAAAATATAGTATGTGAAGTAGCTTAGAATTCATTCAACTTGGTACAATACCAATTTTTTCCCATTCAATAATTTTTTATAATGTTCTTTTAAAGGACAAAATTCTCCTTTAGCATTTATGCAATTATAAGAAGGAGGAAGTGGTTTGTTAAGAGCGCTTGTCACTCTGTTTATGAATTCGACTGTACGTTCATATGATTTTGCAGTGCTAGCATGTTCCATTCAAAACCTGCATCATTTGGAATCTTGTAATGCGGCGGGAAATTGATTTTGAGGTGCAAGCCGATAATTGATTACTATGTAAGGAAATTTTAGTTGAGTAATTTATTAAAAATTGACTGAAAACTTCATTTTGGTTTACCTAATATTCTTGCATTTGCTTTTTTGGCAAGAGATCTTGTAATATTACGTTAAGATTCTTTACTACGCAAATACAACTTCCACCGTGTAAATAAAAAATAGTTTTCTTAATTTCACGTTTTTTCTCATCCATCATTGGGAACTTGAATCCATTCAGCATTAATTCCATAATCATTCAAATCTTTCCACTCAGTATCTAAGACATGTTCATAATGGATTAAAATTTTTTCAAGATGAACTTGAGCTTCGTATCTATATTTATTATTTCACATCAGCAGATACTACCTATTTGCATTTGCTCAACTGTTTTAGCATAATTATTTTTGATCACTGATTTTAAATTTAAAATGGTTAATTGTTGTAGAAAATTTTATAAAATCGATTATTTTCAAAATAGTAATTAAAAAGATTCAACACAAATGATGATTCTATTTATACGAGAATGTAAAATCATACAGAAAAAATATGGCACAGTTAATATATCGATATTTAAAAACTCATTATTTTACTCAAGAAATTAAAATAGTCCATGTGATCCTGCGATTTCATGATGACAAATTTTTATTTAGTGGAGAACTGAGTTTTTTTTGGGTTAGTAAAATCATATTTGACTGTTTTATTTTTCCACGATCACGAGTTGGGACGTGTTTGATATATATACCGCAGCACTTTTTTGTCTATTTTAAGCAAACAAGGCTGAAGCTAAGAGAATTATACCACTATCATTTATAAGTGGAGATTTAAATTAGTTTATTTTGTATATACGAATATGCTTATTATTATTAAGTTTAATATATATTCCCAAACATGTTTTAAGCTCGCTTAAATAAAGTATATTTAAGTTAAATGTGTTATTTTTATATAGTATTATTTATATTTTATATACAAGAATAATAAATTTACATAGTATAACTAGTATTTATTGAAACATTACAAGGTGCTCGTTTTTTAACCGTCAACACATGTTTAATAATAATCTTTTTTACTTTTTACGAATATATACCGTAACTGAAACCGTAATCTTGACGTTTATTTTTCACTGTACAAGAAAAAAAATAATGTTAAACAATATTCATTTAAAGATATTAATCCCTTATTGAAAAATTACCTTCTCGGGCTATAGTCAAAGCTTCTACATTATGTTTATAAAAAGATTTCAATATTTAAATAATTTGATAGTTAATATTAATGTAAATTAAGTAAAAAACTGTATATTACATTATTACCTGATGAAACAATAGCAAAGACTAAGATCAATAACAAATATTTTAAATACATGATTCCGTTGTTCGTGAATTGGTTCAAAAGTGTATATATTTTTTCCTCCTCCCCTGGTCATTTAAATAATTTTTTTTTTCGATAACACGTACTTTCAATATTAACCGGTTATAATCAGCTAAAATTTAGTATTTCGACTACGTGTACCAAGTTTAACTGGTTAAATGACTGTGGGTAAGTCGCTAAGACTTTTGGGGCTGATTTCAATAAGTATAGACAAGAGTATGTTTGCCACGTTTTTAAAATTGTGATAAGCTGTGCCACTCTAAATTAACCAGATAATTGTTTACTAGTCATAAATAAATATATTAATTAATTTATGACAATATAATTTTTATTTTAATATTTTATATCAAAACATTTGAGACCTTACTACGTAAATTATGAAAATAATCATAGCCCTATCTGTAAATACTTAATAAATGAGTCATAATATCTAGATTGTGCAAATTTATTTAAAATAATACATATCCAGGACGAAGATTGATGGGCTTAGGCACGAATTTATCCAAGCATAATTATTAACAATTTAATGATTTATATTAATTTTATCGATTTATAGCGCCTCCTTTGAAGTTATGCTTCTCTAGGATAAAAATTATGTTATTTTCGAGGATGTTTAAGTTATAACTTCACAGATCAAAGATCAAGAAGGGCGAAATTTATAGCCGATTTAGCAAGATTATGCTCTACTAAATCAGAATTCATTTTTATCGATTAGGGGAATTTATGCGAAATGTATTGGCTAAAGATCCACCATATCACGGGATGATCGGCTAATCAGCATGTCATGTGAATTTTTCGCAGAATATATTTCCTTTGGACTTTGGTATCAAATCACTTGTAATTATATTTTAATATATGAAAAATAATAGAGAAGTAGGTTTTCAAGGAAGAAATTATATCATATTTAGCATAGTGTAAATGTAAAAACTTTATTTGTATAACGTAAAAGAATGCCAAACTGCGAGATCGTGATCTTGGGTCACGGTTGGCCTATATTGTCACCCCCCCTGGATATACGACTACCAATCCAAGCTCCATGGATTTTTGTCCTTAATTTTTCTGGAAAAAGCGAATTTGAGATTATTTGCATCCTTCAATTTCTGTTATCTATGATTTAGTAAATATTAGACATATTGTCTTTTGATTTAGAAGTAAAATAGAATAATGAAAAACTAATTTTATGGAGAGGTTTATATTGAATTTATTGACTATATATATGATTTGGAATAAACTTTTATTAAGCTTCATCAATTATGTTAAACTTCATTGATTATTAATTGAGAACGCGTTTTGTAAATCAGAACTCCGAAATATCATCTGTTGATAAAATACATTTATTTTTTGAACTAACCAACTAATATCTAAAATATTCGAGTCATCGTGAAATGTTTTGTTTATACACGAATTAAATAATATCTTGTTACATCATCTAATACAATATATTTTCCGATTGTGTGCTTTTAAATGTCATTTTGCGTTATTCGTAGTAAATATAATTTTTTCCGATAACATGTGGACTGAAAATATTAGAGGAGCGAATGAAATATATAATACTATCAAAGAGGGAGGGAGTACGTGGATCCTAGACCATTTAATGCGAGTCCCAGACATCAAGTTATTTCTTTGCTCTCTCACATTTACGAAAAATATCTACAGTATAACTAATTGACGAACCGCTCATTTTTGGTGAAAAATAATTGGCAAAAGTTGAAATAATATAAATTATAAATGGTATAGCAATTTTTATTATACTTTTATATCAATACAATAAATAAATACACAATATATTATCATTTCTTTCTCGTAACAACAAATTATCATTAACCTGATTAAAGTACAATGGACGATTTTACCTTAGAGCGGACAAGTCTTATCGTGATTTTCTTGTTTGCACACGTGCAGTAAATTTACTAAATTTGAAATTCAAGGATTATTCAAATTCCTCCCAACAAAAGATCTCTATGCGTTAGAAAGAATATGTAAATGGGAATATTTGTTCTGAAAGATTCTTGATTTAAATTCTTGCACCCGTGAATAAGTGTCAAATAATATGTTCAGTGGACTCAAGTTATGCAATTGTCTCACGTTGTATTAATAATGAGAAATGACAAAGAATACTAAATAAAAAAATTTAATTATTATTTAAAATGGATCTAGGAAACGGACCTTTTATTTATGTTTAAAATCACATAACCGTTTCACCTCTTTATGACAGATGATATGTTAATGTTTTCATCGCGTTTATTTATAAACGATTATAATATAGTTGTTGTTCAAAAAAAAATATCTTAACAGCTAATTAAAAAATACATACATATATATATATATATAAACAAGTAAGAACATTGACAATACCGATTTATACGAAGAGTTCCAGTGTTCTAAAAAAAATTTTAAAGTAAATTAAACTGTTTTCATTTCCAAAAAAAAATTAAATTTATTTATTAATTTACTTACAATATACGTAAAAGAAGCTTTGCGTTCATTTCAATTCACTCCAGTAAACTCCGGTACAATACCAATTTTTTCCAATTCAAGAACTTTTTTATGATGTTCTTTTAAAGGTCCAAATTCTCCTTTACCATTTATACAATTATAAGAGGAAGGAGGAAGTGGTTCGTTAAGAGCGCTTGTCACTTTATTTATGAATTCGACTGTACTTTCATACGACTTTGTAGTGCAAACATGTCCCACCATCTAGAATGTATAATAAAAGAATTAGTTTCTAGTTAAAAAAAAAAACATCTTATTTAAAACCAATATATTTATTTTACTTGGAAAACGTGAGGCATTTCTTCATATATTTCGAGTGTAGTATTCGTTGGAGTTTGGAACGGAGATTTTTCAAATTTACCAGCATTATAAGATGGACCCTTATATTTAGTTGGTTCAGCAGATCTGTAAGCAAAATAAATTGCTTCATCTCGCAATCTTTCATCATCTCCTGCTATCTTTATTATTCAAATAAATCCTTTTTTTTCAGTATATAAATATCTAAGAGAAGTTCATGGGATACTTTTCTTACCAATAATAAGGGAGGCAAATCGCCTAAGCTTTCAGCTAGCATGGGACTAACATATGGAATTGCTAGACCTTCATTAGGTGCATAAAATTGAAATCTTCCATCAGGTCTATCAAAAGAATCATGCCAAATTTTAGGACCAAGATTTTGTGTCTTAATCTTTTCTGTGAGAACAGCAGCTTTTTCTTTAAATTCCTTAATAACTTGAGATTCTATATAATCGTTAGTGCCTCCTTTCACAATTGGAAGATAATCTAAACATTTTTCATCTGATAACGAAGGCGTGCTATATGTAAGGTCAACAAATGGGCTCTATAATAAGATAATAGATATTGTGACACAACAAAATTGTGAGAATGATTAGTAATTAACTATATAAAGAAACTAAATTCTATTTACCCAACCGATAATACCAGCGCATGATGGCAAACCAGCATCACGAATAGCAAGACCAAGAGCCAAGCTTAAACCTCCCCCAGCACTTGCACCGGCAATCACAATATTTTTTGGATCCAAAGGTTCAAATCCTGCGTCTTTTGGAGGATTTAAGAGATATAAATAAGCAGCCAATGCATCTTGTAATGCGGCAGGAAATTGATTTTGAGGTGCAAGCCGATAATCGATTACTATGTAAGGAAATTTTAGTTAGGTAATTTGATTGAAAATATCCATTCTTCCAAGAGTTTGACTTACCCAAAGCTCTTGCATTAGCTTTTTTGACAAGAGGACTTATTATATCACGATGAGATTCTTTATTGTAAAAGATATAAGCACCACCGTGTAAAAACAAAATAGTTTTTTTAATTTCGTTTTTTTCCCATCCATCATTAGGAACTTGAATCCATTCAGAATTAATTCCATCATCTTTCAAATCTTTCCACTCAGTATCTAAGACATGTTCATAAGGTTTCAAAATTTTTTCAAGATGAACTTGAGCTTCGTGTCTATATTTATTATTTATCTTGAATTCATTTATCATCACACCAGCTGGTACAGGAGAAAGAAGAAAACTATCTTTTTGCATTTGCTCAAATGTTTTAGAACTGCTAGGTTGTGAGAACATCGATCTATACAATGCCCAAGTTGTATGAAATTTTAAATCCCATGATGGTCTAGGTGGTCCATTAAGATAATGATTTATTGTTGTAGAAATTAATAATGGAGTAAATTTTATAAAATCGAGCATATTCAAAATAATAACTAGACTATGATGTAAAAGATTCAATACGAAAAAATAATCGCCCTATTTATACAAGAATGGAAAATCTTTTATTGACTAATCTTTATATATTTAGTTGTACTACTCATGTGGTTAATGATTGTTTCAATCGATTTGATGATCTTATTCCAAATGTGTATTTATTAAATCAAAATAACTTCGTCAGTATCGCAGCGAATAAGGATATTACAATAAAATAAGAATCTTAACATTTTATTTAGTATATGTTCCTTTTTATTTATGTCATCTAAGTAAGGGAAACAAGAGGTAGAATTTCTTACTGGATTTATCATTATTTATTATTATTTATCATTATTATTATTTATTATTAACATTATTATCATTTATCATTATTATCATTATTTATTCTCATAAAATATAAACAATTTTGATTTTTGATTTTTGATTTTTTATTATTACAATGTATATTTATTATTTTATTATTAACAAAGTATAACAGAATGATATTGTATTATGATGATTTAATCATGTATACATTATATACATTATAGAAATGATCGGTATCAAAATCATGTGAACGGGTCATTTTTCTGCGGAAGTTAATCAAACGGAATATTTAACAAATTAAGTTATAAATAATTTAAATAATTTTTAGAATTTTTAAAATATAAAAATCTCTCTTTTAATAACAGATAATGAAGGTATTCCTGTAATTCAAATGCGCAGAAATTAATAACATCTAACGCCAGAATCATAATCATAATCATATGAAACAAATCATTGTGATAATAAATCTCCAAATTTGGAATATCCGCTGACGCCACATTTCCAAGCTTATCTCACACATCGTTCAGTCGTTCAAAAGAACAATGATGCAACTTTATAACTTCCTTCTCATAGAACTACAATTTTTTATAATTGTATAACATTTGTATAATTCATGGATGTGTGAAAAATCAAAGAACATTAATCTAACATTATAGTTAATTGAATGACAATTTTAACAACATTATCCTTTAGTTCTAACCTGACATAAATGAAATTTTCATCAAAATTTCTCCCGCCAAAAGATCTTTATGCTTTAGAAAGAAATTGTAAATGGGGGAATCAATCTCCTTCCATTCAATCAATCTGGAAAAACTCCTAGTTAAAACCTGATTATCTAATATGACTATTTCATGGCAAATATGTTGGTGACAGATAGCTACGTAATTGTGTCACGTTACATTATAATGATAGCAATATTAAATAATTTTTGTTAATATTTTTGTTTAAATTGAAATTACTATACAGCCGACTATACTAATTTTCGCCCCAGGATCCCATTGGATCCGACGTGGAATTAGCTCTCTATATAATGACGGCAGAAAACATGGGTGATGATTACAAATGATTACAAATCAAAAATTCCAGATGACTTGACCCGGTTCACTAGCCAGAATCAATGGCGAAAATTGGTATAGCCGACAAGTGTCAAATCGATAAGTAAGCTGACTATCAAGCTAACAAAGTCGACTAGCAAGCCAACCAGTAAGCCTCAAGAAGAAGTGACCGACGAGAAATCGAGCCGCCGAATATTCCTAAAGGTAATTGAATTTTGACAAATTGATCCAGATGTCTATATTACACAATCATTTTAAATATTTTTCAACACGTTTATTTATAAATTATTATTGTTATTACAAATTTGTGAATAAAAAAAAGCTTAACAACTTAATAAAATAAAACAAACAAATAAATAAATCGACGAAGAAAATAAGTAAGAACACTGATAAAACCAATATATACGAAAAGTTCCGGTGTTCTAATAAAAAAAAGAAGTTTTCGAGTAAATTAACATGATTTTATTATTTTTAAATATAAATAAATCAATTTGCTAAATTACTTACAATCTACGTAAAATAACATTAATTCCATTTCAATTAGTTTCTTGTGATATTTGGTACAATACCAATTTTTTCCCAATTAAGAACTTTTTTATGATGCTCTTTTAAAGGTCCAAATTCTCCTTTAGCATTGATGCAATTATAAGATGAAGGGGGAAGTGGTTCGTTAAGAACATTTGTCACCCTATTCATAAATTCGACTGTACGTTCATATGATTTTGTAGTGCTAGCATGTTCCATTCCCTAAAATAAATATAAAAGTAAAAGAAATAATTTTTAATTAATAAGATTAATAAATTTAAAATTCTTATTAATTTAAAATAATAATATAGATTACTTGGAATACGTGAAGCATCTCTTCGTATATTTCGAGTGTAGTATTTGTCGGAGTTTGGAGTGGAGATTTTTCAAATTTACCAGCATTATAAGATGGTCCCTTATATTTATTTGGTTCAGCAGATCTGTGAGCAAAATAAATTGCTTCATCTCGTAATCTTTCATCACCTCCTGCTACCTTTATTGTTAAATAAATCCTTTTAAGAATATAAATATCAGAGAAAACCACAAGACACGTTTTCTTACCAACAATAAAGGAGGTAAGTTGCATAAGCTTTCAGCTAACATTGGACTAACATATGGAATTGCTAGACCCTCATTTGGTGCATACATTTCTAATCTTCCATCAGGTTTATCAAAAGAATCGTGCCAAATTTTGGGACCAAGATTTTGTTTCTTAATCTTTGCTGTAAGAGCAGCAGCTTTTTCTTTAAATTCCTTACTAATTTGAGATTCCGCGTGATTAATACCTTTCGCCAGATTTGGAAGAAAATCAATACATTCATCATCTGATACCGAAGGTGTAAGATCAACTAACGGACTCTGTAATGTGACACAATATACTGTATCATGTGAACGATTAGCAATTGAACTATATAAAGAAATTAAATACTTTATTTACCCAACAAGTGATACCAGCGCATGATGGCAAACCAGCATCACGTATAGCAAGACCAAGAGCTAAGCTTAAACCTCCCCCGGCACTATCACCGGAAATTACAATATTTTTTGGATTTAAAGGTTCAAATCCTGCATCTTTCGGAGGATTCAAGAGATATAAATAAGCAGCCAATGCATCTTGTAATGCGGCGGGAAATTGATTTTGAGGTGCAAGTCGATAATTGATTACTATGTAAGGAAATTTTAGTTAGAAATTGATTAAAAATTTCATTTCTCTAAAGTTTAACTTACCTAAAATTCTTGCATCTGCTTTTTTAGCAATGGGGCTTGTAATATTACGATGAGATTCTTTACTACACAAATAATAACCTCCGCCATGTAAATACAAAATAGTTTTCCTAATTTCTCTTTTTTCCCATTCATCATTAGGAACTTGAACCCATTCAGCATTAATTTCATTATCATTCAAATCTCTCCACTCAGTATCTAAGACATGTTCATAAGGTTTTAAAATTTTCTCAAGATGAACTTGAGCTTCGTGTCTATATTTATTATTTATCTTGAATTCATTTATCATCGCACCAGCTTGTACAGGAGTAGGACGAAAAGTATCCTCTTGCATTTGCTCAATTGTTTTAGCACCCATACTGGTATATGAGAATATCGATTTATACAATGCCCAAGTTAAATGAAATTTTAAATCCCATGATGGTCTAGGTGGTCCATTAAGATAATGTTTTATTGATGTAGAAATTAACAATGGAGAAAATTTTATAAGTTCGGCCATTTTCAAAATAGTAACTATACTATAATATAAAAGATTTAGTGCAAATAATGACTCTATTTATAAATGAAAATCTCTCGGAAAAGATCGAAAATAGTTTAATATGTCTATATTATTTAACCCGTTGAGAACATATAATTGTATCACTCATGTGGCCCCTGTGATCCTATGATTGTTTCAATCGATACGATAAATTTGTACTTATTAAATTCAAAATCACGTGATATTCGTTCAAATCAAACTTTAAACAAATCAAGGTTAAATGAAATTATTCCTATTAACCAGGTTCATGGCGGATTTATGAAATACCTCAAAATTTGTCCGTCATGTCAAATTAAATAAATATTTGACAGTCTTTTAGTCACCGAATTTCTATTTAAGTCCCAAATTTATTAGTGAACAGGCAAAATGAGCTCTAAAAAATTTTTTTGTACCCCAAATCTTGCGTCTAACCAATTTTTCCAGTGTAAAGGTGCGTCATTATTTGACATTTTTTAGGAAAAAAGCTTAATGTTTCTGTAAGTCAATTTTAATTCCCGAGGGCGCAGCAGGGTTCTTGCGACTTCCCTAGCGTAACCTGAAAAAAATGTCACGAAATGGCCGGCATTACGCAACTTGACTGAAATTAAGTGTGGCGCACTTGTGACGAATAAGGTGTGACGAATAAGTTTTTACCTACTCGAAAAAAACTAAGTCCCTCATATACTTATAGAAAATGGAAACGCAGTGGGGTGTGACGGTTGTGACAAAAAAATCACGTGATTTTTCGTGACATTTTGTTCAGGTTACGCTGGGAAAGTCCAAATTTCATAAATCCGCCGCAATGAAATGTACAGTAACGACATCAAATTGTAATTTCACTAACGCAAAAATCATAAATCAACGATAATGAATTTTTTTTCCGAATTTGGAATCGCAATCTGAACTGCCGCTTCAGACGTTTTATATCACGCAATTGTTTAAATATTTTCAACTCGTTTATTTATAAATAAATATAAGAAATTGTTTGTGTTTTTTAAAAAGCGAAAAAAAAAGTTAAAATAAACAAATAAATAAAATAAGTGACAACACTGGCAACAACCAGATAGTTCAGTGTTTTAAAAGAAATAGTTCTCAAACTGAGTCAACATGTTTTTGTTAATTCTAAATTTAATTTTTTTTTTTAATTCTACGTAAAATAAAATTGAATTAGTTTCGTGTGATATTTGGTACAATACCAATATTTTCCCAGTTAAGAACTTTTTTATGATGTTCTTTTAAAGGTCCAAATTCTCCTTTACCATTTATGCAATTATAAGAGGAAGGAGGAAGTGGTTCATTAAGAACCTTTGTCACTTTATTTATGAATTCGACTGTACGTTCATACGACTTTGTAGTGCTATCATGTTCTAAAATCTATAACATAAAAATAAAAGAATTAGTTTTTAATTAAAAGAAAAAATAAATTCAACAACTATTATTAATTTAAAAATTAATATATATTATATTACTTGGAATACATGAACCATTTCTTCGTATATTTCGAGTGTAGTATTTGTCGGAGTTTTGAATGGAGATTTTTCAAATTTACCAGCATAAGATGGACCCTTATATTTAGTTGGTTCAGCAGATCTGTGAGCAAAATAAATTATTTCATCTCGTAATCTTTCATCATCTCCTGCTACCTGTATTATTCAAATAAATTCTTTTTTTTTAGTACATAATTATCTAAAAAGGGAGCATGAGCTACTTTTTAATTCTCACCAACAATAAAGGAGATAAGTTGCACAAGCTTTCAGCTAACATTGGACTAACATATGGAATTGCTAGACCTTCATTAGGTGCATACAATTCTAATCTTTCGTCAGATCTATCAAAAGAATCATGCCAAATTTTGGGACCAAGATTTTGTTTCTTAATCTTTGCCGTAAGAGCAGCAGCTTTTTCTTTAAATTCCTTACTAACTTGAGATTCTACGTGAGTAACACCAAAACCTTTCGCCAGATTTGGAAGAAAATCAATACTTTCTTCATCTAACATTGAAGGCGTGCTGTGTGTAAGGTCAACCATTGGACTCTGTAATATGACATGACATAATTATATTATTAATGATTAGCAATTAACAAAATAAAGGAACTAAATTCTTTATTTACCCAACAAATGATACCAGCGCATGATGGCAAACCAGCATCACGAATAGCAAGACCAAGAGCCAAGCTTAAACCTCCCCCGGCACTTGCACCGGAAATTACAATATTCTTTGGATTTAAAGGTTCAAACCATGCATCTTTTGGAGGATTTAAGAGATATAAATAAGCAGCCAATGCATCTTGTAATGCAGCGGGAAATTGATTTTGAGGTGCAAGCCGATAATCGATTACTGTATAACGAAATATAGTTAGATAATATTAATTGATTGAAAATTCATTCTTCCACGTTCGACTTACCTAAAATTCTTGCATTTGCTTTTTTAGCAAGAGAGCTTGTAATACCACGATGGGATTCTTTATTAGATAAATAATAACCTCCACCGTGTAAAAACAAAATCGTTTTCCTAATTTCCCTTGTTTCCCATCCATCATTAGGAACTTGAACCCATTCAGCATTAATTCCATCATGTTTCAAATCTTTCCACTCAGTATCTAAGACATGTTCATAAGGTTTCAAAATTTTTTCAAGATGAACTTGAGCTTCATATCCATGTTGATTATTTATCTTGAATTCATTTATCATCACACCAGCTTGTGCAGGAGCAGAACGAAAACTTTCCTCTTGCATTTGCTCAGTTGTTTTAGCATTGGATTTTGAAACTGAGAAAATTGATCTAATAACTGCCCAAGTAACATGACATTTTAAATCCCACGAAGGTCTAGGTGGTCCATTAAGATAATGTTTTATTGTTGTGGAAATTAATAATGGAGAAAATTTTATAAAATCGGCCATATTCAAAATAGTAACTAGACTATAATGTAAAAGATTCAGTACAAGTAATCGTTCTATTTATAAGAATGAAAATTTTGCGGGAAAAATCGAAAATAGTTTAAGATTAACTAATATAGATCTTCATTGAAAAAATCATATAATCGTACCACTCATGTGATCGGTGTGATCCTAGAATAATTGTTTCAATCGATATGACAAATTTGGTGCTTGAAATCAATTAATTCTATTTTAATTTTGTAGAAAGTATTGTACAATCAGAACTCACAAATTCATTATTAAAATCAAAATGCAACCGGACTTAATAATACGTTAATAAGTCAATAACCTATTGACCTTATTAGTAAAGGTCCAAAATGGGTTGCATTGACTGAAGTTAATGCATTACGCAAATTCAGAATCAATTTGTAAATAACAGCAGAGATAAAAAATTTTTATTAACCAATTATATAAAAAGTATTTTCTTTGTTACAGATTCGTTATAATATTATCATAATTCATAATCTTATATTTTAAACGGATAAATTAACCGGTTAACAGATGACTTAACCAGCTAACCGTCCTAATCGGTTACTTATTAGGAGACGCGATAAGTTAGAAATAAATTGGTCCAATTGCGCCTACTTTTTTGAATGTGTTTTCTACGAGTAAAACGCAATCCAAGAATTTCTAGATCATTATATTAGTGAATTACTTGACAATTTTAATACTATCTTTCAGTTCTAGTCTGTACATAATCCCGTTTGAAACTTTCATAAAAAATTCTCCAAAAAATCAGGAAGAATATGATATACTGTAAATGGGAAATTTTCTATCCTGAAAAAGCTCCTAGTTTAAATTCTTCCGCCCGAGTATGAAGAATGGCAAAAATGTTCAATGATAAATTTTGAGTTCTAGTTATGTTGCATTAACAAACAATAAAGATTTAGTACAAATAATGTAAAAGAATGAAAATCTTGCGGAAAAAATCGAAGAATATCAAATAATCATATAATTATTATATTTGTATATACAGTATATTCCATTTGTAAATATTTTAATAATTCTTATGTACAAAATAAACACTCTTTGCAGTTAATTATCTTACTGGAATATGTTATCACTCTGTGGAGTTGATTCTTTTTCGGAGATCACATGACCGAGGTAATCTATACTTCTGTCTCTTTTTTATTTTTAGTTGTCCCTTGTGGGCTAATGTTTTTAGGCGATTTTGCATTTCGCTCGACGTACTGTATCATCAAGTGCGTGCTAAAAAATCACGTGTTATGTTCAAATCAAACTTGAATATGTAATTAATGACATCAAGTTATAATTTAAAATCATCTATCCTAAAAAATTGAAACTAAATTGCAATGAAACTGGACTTATAATACAATAATGAATATTTCTGAATTTGGAATCGCCACATTTCCAATTTGAACCAATTGCTGCCTTTTGGCTCATCATCGTATAAACCATGCGGTTAGTATCTGTACATCTTTCAATTGTTCACAAGTTCAAAGGGCAATAATGCAACTTGCAATTTTTAACGTTTTTATTCGTCATTATGTTCAAAAATCAATTATCTTATTGGAGGGCACGATAAGTTAAATGATTGAAATAAATGGGTCGATTGCGCCTATTTTGTAGAAAACGAATTCACTACGAGTAAAACAATAAATAATCAGAATTTTCAAATATGGTATAATTGTTTATTAACCGACAGCTTTAACAACAATGTCTTAGATACTGAGTGGAAAGATTTGCAAGTTGATAGAATTGTTGCTGAATGAGTCCAGGTTTCTGGGGAAAAAGTAAAATAGGAAACTATTTTGTATTTACATGGTGGAGGCTATGATTTGTTTGATAAAGATTCTCGTCGCGATATTACTGGCTCTTTTGCCAAAAAAGCAAATGTAAGTGTTTTAGGTACTATGGAAGAATGAAGTTTTAAATGATTTTTTAATATATTACCTTCCTTACATAGTGATCAATTATTGACTTGCAACTCAAAATCAATTTCTCGTCACATACAAGATGCATTGGCTGCTTATTTATATCTTTTAATCACCAAAAAATGGGGAATTGAATCCTTAAGCCAAAAAAATATTTTAATTCCTGGTGGATATTTTCGGAGTTCGGACTGATTTAAACATTGCCCAAATTAAATCAAATGAAATTTTAAATCTCATGAAGGTCGGTCTATTAAGATAATGTTTTATTACTGTAAGATGAACCATGAAATTCTGCATGAACTTAAGAGGATAACTGATAATTTTCATTATCGTATAAATAGAACCATTACTTTTTTACATAATTGTTATTTAGGTCGGTTATCTCATATTACTATGTATTAGCGTAATAATAAAATTATAGGATAGTAACGGGAGTTTATTATAAAAATTGCATGAACGGTCCCGTCAAACCGATAATATTATTATTGGATGATTTAAACTAAATAATAGTCTAATGCGACACTACGTGCCGCTATTAGACTATTATTTAGTTTAATCATCCAATAATATAATAATCGATCTACTTAAATAATTTTTAAGATTTACTATTATGTTGATAACTGATTTACTTAAGAACGAATAATTATTAAATAGCCTTCCTTGACAAGTTTTTATTTCTTAATAATCGGTTTCCGTTATGTATAAGACTATAAGTGTGTGTTCAATAAAAATTTCAAAAAGGTCTAGTAAAAGATTTTTTCGTAAACTTAACTGAAAATTATATTTTAAGTATAAATACAAGCAATTTAATTATAAGAGTGAATTTATTTACCGCACCCTGCGTTACAACGCATCCTTCCTTTTTTGTAAATTGTTTATGTCGATCTTTAGTTTATACACCGCACCCCCCCTAAAATGGCAAATGATAAACATAAAAATATATATAAATTTGTAACGCAGGGTGCGGTAAATACATTATTTCTAATTATAATTAGCGAGCTAGCAAGGAGTAGAGATAGAATCCGAATCCGGTGATCCGCTGAATATTCAGCAAAATATGTAATAATAGAAATTCAATTTCTGATTAGATAAAAGAAAAAAAATCATTTTCTCTGAGTTATTCGACGTAAAAAGTTAAGGTACGTGATGCTGTATTTTGTTAATCAAATTCTAAAAATTCTTAAAAACAAATGTATTTGATAAATATATATTTAATAATACCAATTTTTTTTTATTAATAAACGCTAAACGTATAAATATATACAAACTCATTTACAAATTATTTTGATTTCCAATCACACTTAAAATAGAGATATATATATTGTGATTTCTAATATACTTTAAAATGCTTTGACAATTCCCTTTACTATTAATTCTTTCTCCAAATTAATTACCCGAACATCAGATTCTTCATGTATACCAAACAATGCTGATTCACATATTTTACCTGATTGGACAGGTTTTATACTTTTATGTATTGTACCGACGGTAACATGTGCAACTTTGTTTGCACTGTAGATAGTTGGTGGATCAATCTTATTAACCACAAGAGCCATAATCTGTGAATTAAAAACTATCTTGTCGATAAAAATTTTCACTTGCATAGTTGGACCTTCACACAATTTTTCATATTTTTTCCATAAACTTTCCTTTCTTCTCATATCCATTGAATGAATGAGTGTAACATGATGCGAAGCACTAATACGATCATTTTGAACCAGTACATTAAAAGTACCGGAATCTTCATTGGGATGTTCTTTATAAAAATTTGTGAGAAAATTTTGAAAATTATAACTTAAGTCAATCCCATAATATTGAGCGTTTCGTTTTTTGAATTTTCTAATACTAGAATCGCTAATAGATGATCCAACACTAACATTTGGTTTATAAAGTTTTATCTCTTCTAAAACTTTTTGAATTACTTCTTTACTAGGATTTTTAATTCCAATGATGGGTTTTAATTTATTAATTACAATGTTAAGGTTGGTATTAATATCATTAGCAATATCTAAATTGATAATGTGATCAAATTGGTTATCCACGTTATTATATGGATCCAAACGTTCAAAGTCGTTCAAAAACTTCCACATTTTTCCTCTATTTTCAATAGTAAGATTCTGATGATTTTCTCCACGAGCCATTACACGTTCAGATGTGATTTTGATAATTTCGTTAGGAGTTCGATTTTCATGATTCCAATAAACAGCTACAACGCGGACATTTGAAAAGATTTTTTTCACTGCTTCTATCAAAGGTTTACGTAATTCTATCATATGGTTATTTCTAAATAAATAAATGATTAATTAATGATTTGTTCAATGAATCAACTAAATTTATAATCATACTTTTTACTTTTTTTTTACTTACCTGTCCGCGATTACGACATCTCGATTCTTGAATTCTCTTTTAATGTTTCTGTAAAACCTTGAACTTTTTTTCCCCCCGGAAATATCATCATTTTGTATATGTCCAAATGAAAATAACTTCGCTAATGCTAAAGAAAGCGTCGTTTTTCCTGTAATTGGTTGTTTTTAAAATATTTAATTTCACGTAAAATGAGAGAAAAAATATAAAATATTTAGTTAAAGCAGCTTACCACATCCGATTGTCGCAACAGGTACCAATAATGTTTTGTAGAATTGGTTTCTAACTTCTTTATGCATGAAAAAAAAATTTTTTTTTTTTTTAATTAAAATATTGGAAATTTCTGTCATTATATACATTTTTATAATGCATCTTGGCGTTACTGCATGAGGCAAATGAATTTTGCAGGCGCAGTAAATTCTCTCAGCTTGACTGTGGCGCACATGTGACAAATAGTGGTGAGCTACTGAGCTAACTATTTGCCAAATTATAATCGCAAAATCATATTCATTTTTTCGCAAATTGCATGTGACTTTTTCTTGCGCATTGTGCAATAATAAGTAATTTGGCTTGAATTTTATACACTGCAGTCAGATACTTATGAAAAATGGACCGGTGATGAAAATGTCACGTCATTCGCTGCGCCTGCGGTTCTTTTAACAATGTACAGTATTTGATTAGTCATCATATGGTCGATTAAATATATCGCATTAATTTATGACTAAATTTATTTACTGAAATTAGTTAAGTTTGTTAAGTTTACAATCTATAAAAGGTGATCTAAAAAAGTTAAAATATTGATATTAGTATTTATACTAGCAAATAATTTAATTAATTATTAAACAATGTTATGATGTATTTAACTTACTGACTATAAAATACCCGAATTCCTCAGTTCCGATATGCGAATTGGTAGTATCAATAGTAAAATATAAATGATTATTCTTTATGCAATATTTGATATCGGAATTAGCAATTGATATTCGAACAGCCGTAACACCACATCTGAATATCTGAGTCATAGTTAGTAAAAATTAATACTGTAATACATCCAAGTCTCATATTTATATATACCATTTGGGCTTATTTTCTTATAGTTCTGCAGTTTTATTACTGCTTCTTTTAGTTTCTAAGTCTTTCCAATATCCCTTACCCTTAACTGAAGTAGGCTGTAAGTGGAGACTACTACTGCTTCTTTTGGTTTCTATTGAGGTGCAGGTGTGTTCAGCGTTGTTGACGTCAGAGATTGTGGCGATCGGGCAGGGACGATGATTTTATGATGTGATAAAACACAAATTATTTATGTGCTAAAACAAAATTATGCGATTTAATTTTTTTCAAAAAAACTTCACATTATGTGATATTATTTGACGAAATGTGCATATTATTCGAAAAAATGCTTCATCCGTTCATAAAAATGTGAATTTATTTTTGTAATCACGTGGAAATTACAACCATGACATCACAAAATAATTCTGATAACGGCGGAATATGCGTTTTTAATATAGGAGGTATAAATAATAGTTATTGGTTAGGGGGGGGTAAAATATCGGTCACCCCGAAGGGGTGACACGATATTTTATCCACCATAACCAATAACTAGATTATTGCGTCAGTCACGCAAGATCATGCTATTATTATAGTAAGAGTATATAAAAAGTATAACTAAACTGCAAATATATTTGATATTTAGCCATTAAAAGAAAAATATCAATTATTTAGCCATCAACAAAAAACATCAGTCCGTCAAAATCTGCATGATCCTATTAGACTGACCAATAAATTATGCGATATTATGCTGTGATAAAACTAAATTATGCATTATCGCATATATTATTCGTTTTATGTGAAATTATGCAATCACATAAAATCATCGTCCCTGCTACAGCGGTGGTTGATATATGGTAGTGTGAAATGGAATATTAATCAATGACCAAAACTTAACTTAAATCCTATCTTTTTAGTGTTCCATATTGATTTTAAAGTTGGATGTTACTATTATAAACAAAAAAATAATGCAATCATAACGTAATTCTTTTTTTAGGATTCTTAACTTGCTTAGCTTTCTTTTCTCTCTGTTGAGGTATTATATATTTAATAAATCATGATTGAACAACTTCAACAAACGCATCCCTAAAAATTAGCGTAGTCGATTGTTTCACATGTATATTGGAATCTATTAACGAACGTATCCCCTTAAAAGTGATTTTTATTCATATTAATAATTTTAACAAATTTTTAAATTTTAATGATATCTTATATTAAAAAAAAATTAAAAATTATATAATTAATTAGTTTTTTTTGCATTATCTAGTATAAATTTATTATTCTTATATAAATGATAATTTATATTTGCTTTAATAAAATTATTTTTGTGTAAAAAAATTAGAGTACTCAAGTCCGAAATGGGTATTAAAAGGGTAAGTTTCGCAACGTCTCGTTGCAAAACTTTGACATTTTTTTATTTTCTTTGAGAAACTTTATACTAACGTTTCTCTTTTATTTTTTTATAAATTTCGGTACTCAAGGATCTGAAACTGATAAATGGTAAGTTTCGCAACGTCTCGTTGCGAAACTTTATAATTTTTTTTATCTTTATTGACCCCTTAAAAAATGGTATGGCTGATTGTTTACACATACTATACATTGTGATTGTGCAATGACATATGCCAGCATGAATATTTTCCCTGGGAAATATTTATTTCTTATTTCGGTGTTAAGTCGTACATTTTCTCGAGCACAATAATTACAATTCTAGTAGTATTGTCGTTTCCATTTGAATTTCTCCTAAACGCATCAAAGATTTTTATTTATCTTTCGAAAGAATAATCGGAATTATTTTTTTATTATTTAAAGACTTAGTTAGGGGTTCAAAAAGTAGCAGGTATTGGTCAAAAAAAAAAAATAATTTATTTTTATAGCGTCCTCAATGTAATTGCATTGGTATATTTACAAATTCAGGATCATAATCGGATTACGGATTTTTGTATTAGAAAGTAAATAAAAAAAAATTATTTAAATTCATAATTATATATATAACATGAGATGGAGGTGTGTGGTCGTGGTGGTAGATTGTAGTAAATGTACAGTATAATAATGCTGTGGATTGGAAATTTAATGATAAAATCCAATCAAATTGGATCAACTTAATACAAATAATTAGGTTCGTATTTTAGTGAAACTATTTATTAGGGGATTGACATCCCGATTAGTTATAGAATAAAGTCTGACATCTAACTTCCTAGCAACCAATCAGGGGGATAGATCGCAATTAGCAATTTATTTAATCTAGGAATGATTGTAATTCCTATATTAGATTAATTTGAATGGATTGAATGGATTTTTCTAAACAGGAAAATCAAAAAAATGGTATCAATTTCCTAATATAATTGAAAAAATATTTTTTGGAATTATTAACGTGTAACTTCTTGGCATTCACGTCATTTTTTCGGTGTAACAACTAATGATCATCATGTATTTAACCTAAAACACCATTGATGCGCCCTCTCAATGACTCAGTCATACAATGAATTTATTATTATATTCATCTTGTACGTACCCCCGGAGGTCAAGTCCAGGGAATGTATAATTACTGCCCAATTGGATTTTACAAAGGGGAAAGAAAAAAAAAACAATTGTTTATCGACAACAAAACAAATATTTTCTTTTTTTTTTTATATAAAATAAAGAATTATGTTTTAAAAAAAAAAAACTTTTTTCAATTTTTATTTAATCTTTTTTCTTTTTGCAAAGGATTGAATATTAATTCATACGTGTATTATAATAATCATGTCAGAACTACAAAAAATAAGTGACGAAGAGAAAGCAGAAATTATAACAATCTCTTCTCTTAATTCTGTAAAGAAAACCTCAGATAAAGGCCATTATATTGCCATAAGTCCTGATGGAACTCAAATAGCAACGTTAAACACTGAAACTCTCAAAATAAAATTATGCAAATCTGAAAATTTAACAGAGTTACACAATGTGGGTTGTGAAAGTTTTAAACGTATTGATGCTCCATCTTGGAGTTTAGCCGTATCTGATGAAATTACTTTGGCCAACGGGACGGTTGATGTATTAATTGCCGTATCTTGTTTTGATGATGAGTTCATGAATAATTCTCATTCTAATGAAAAAAATGTTAATATTAATATGCACAAAAAAAATGATATTATCAAGCATCCTGGAGCTTCTACTTGGATCATTTCTTTTGCGCGTCAATCAAGGATTTCCACTTCAATTAATAATTTAGGTGGTATAGTAAAATTCTTGGATAAAGATTCTAATTCGACTAATATAGTTCTTATCAATACTGATGGAATCAATAAATTCTCTATAAATCACGAAAAAATCAATGATATAATTAGATGTAGGGGTGAAAATGATGTTAATGATTGGTATAGTCTTTTTTTTCCTGAAAAATCAATTGAAAAATTTTATTTCCCTGCAAAATTTTTGAAAAGAAATTATGAAAGTTATAGTTCTCTTATTCAACGTAGTTTAATAAAAGATCGTTTGATCGTGGAAAATTATAAAAATAAAATACAAACTATTGAAATATATAATTTAAAAACAAATTTATTGGAAAATACTTTACAAAAATATGAAGATACAACTACTTCGATTATTGGAAAAGGTTCCCCTTGCTTTGCAATATCAGATAATGAATCCTTGTTCGCTTATTGTCATGGTGCAAATACTATAACTATTTATTTAATGGAAAATGGTTTGGAAATTATCACAAAGAAATTTAATGAAATGCGTGTTCGAATACTTTCTTTTTATTTCGTTCAAGATGATAGTAAATTATTAATTATTATTGAAGAAATTACGTATAACGAGGATACTGCAGAAAATATTATTTCGCCCTTTATTGTAGTTTGGGATTTATTTAGTATTTCTGATAATTGTATTAGAAGTATTAATAATAATTTCTCTTTACTTACTACAAATTTAGTCAATTCTTCTGGAAATATTATTACTATCACGGAAAGTGGAAATATTTTTTCAATTTTTGAAAAACCAGAAATGATTAAATTACTGGACCCCGAAGATGGTGTTGTAAAGAACAAAATTTCACTTGAAAAACCTGATTCTTTCTCCTCAACGAATACTTCACCAACAACACCTTATTATTTAATATATAATTATTTGGGAGAAAGTTTAAATCCTAAAACTGAACTTAGTAATGGAGTAATTATTGTAAATTCTGAACCTTGGCACAACAAACTTTATAATCGTATTTCAGCTTATCTTGATGATGATAAATCCATTCAATTAATAATAGGAGAATCCACTGTTCAAGTATGGAACGAAAGAAAAAGTGGCTCATTATCTAAAAAAATTCTTGAGTATATTTGGACAAATAATCACATGGAACAGCAAAGACAAATGAAAATTCAATCTTTAGAAGTTGGTCATAGAAAATTCTCTTTAACATTATGCATTCCTTCTGGAATTACTTCTAAACTTGGACATGAAATTAAACTTGAATGGCCTGAAAAAGTTAATAATCCAGTAGATGCATGTCAAGCAATGGAATTTCTTGACAAAAAAAAGAATGATCCTTCGGATCAAAAGAAGCAGCATGAATTTGAATATTTGGTTCAACAAACAGAATATATCATTAAAAAATATTTAATTAAAAATCATAGTTTATGGAGAATGATGGACATACGTTTTGATATTATGGCTAATCTTATTCGTGGAAATTGTGTATCAATTATTAAAAATATGTTATTTTTTGATTTTAATAAGAAAGAAAAAAATTTACATATTCCAAGATGTTATTCTTGGGATGGGAGAATCAAAGAGACTGATCTTGAGATTGCTATTAAATGTTCTGAAGGAGGTTATCGTAAAGATACGATCATAGTTAAATATTTATTAGATTATTATTCTGATAATGCTTTAAAAACTTCAAATTGGATGTTTACTGTCACTAAAACAATCCCTCTTCTTTATCAAAATCAATTAGAATTTTATGTTAAAGAATTATTTCAAAAACCTTGTTTTGGCATTAATAATGTTTATTTAGAGCAATCAAAGATTAGTAAAAAAGATGTGATTAAGAGTAACGACAAAGACATTCATGCATTTAACGTAAACTTAGGTTTTGTCAAGAGAAAAGAGTACAATTTCTTACAAAAATTAATTTTTAAAGGGAAACAAAAGTAAATATTTTTAAGTCGTAATGAAACAAATTATCATTTCTTATTTTTTTAAAAAATTTTTTTTTTTTTTTTTTTTTTTGGGGAAAGAAAACGATTTCAAATATAACGAGCAGGGAATTCATCACTAGTCCTTTACACGTCAGTCAAGTTTTCATTGTACCTCTTCCGAATTTTACAGTATATCCAGAGAAAATCAATTATGAACAAAATTATTGGATGGTTCCTATCAAGCTATTAAAATTGTTAATTTGGCCGCGTGGTCATGTATTCGAAGAAGAAGAAACATTAAGTCCATTCTTAAGAATGATAAGGAATAATGATAGCGCAGAAATTTATGATAATCCATCAATAGCCGCAATAATTGATTATAAATGGAATTCAGCAAGAGGTTTTTTCTTAAGACATGCAATTCTGTACCTTTTGTTTGCATTAATGTTCTCATTTGTAGCTGACGCAGTTAAAGATATTAGTTTAGCGATGCAAGGAAATAATTCGAAATATTCTAATGCATCGATGGTTGCTTTCTATGTTTTATTTTATTGGTTGGGATTTTACTTATTGAATACTGAGAGAATACAATTAAAATATGATGGACTGAAAAGATATTTTAATATTTTTAACTTTTTTGATCTGATTTCAGTCATTTGTCCATTAATGGTAGCTAGTGCACAATTATATTATTATTTATCCACGGTCCCGTCTATTAAAATTGATCTGGATGGCGATTTTAATCCTGAAAAAGTCCTGCGAATAATGACTATTTGTAATTCTTTTTCAATTTTATTAGTTTGGTTGCAACTTGCTTTGGTAGGTTCTTTAAAACATTTTACCGTAGTAATTATAATGATTGTATTAATTAACCGTTTATACAACAAATTTTGTTAGTTGTTACGATACTTTCAACAATCTGGAACTTACATCTATGTTATAGTTCATATTTTGAAACAAATTATACCCTTCCTAATTTTTATGTTAACGATCGTCTTTGGATTTGGCCATGCTATGTAAGTTTTTATATATCACACAAAACTTTCTTTCATTTTTCGCTCAAAAAACGAACAAATATTTGACCGTTCATTCTAATTTAATTTTATTTGATAGGTTTATTTTACTTAGCAATACACAAAACATAGGCATTCAGCCCGATGGTTCCACTTATTTATTAAACAATACTATTGATGGAGAGCAATATAAAATGGACCAAGAAATTAATGTGCAGAGTGCATCGGATAACTATTTTTCAGATTTTACTAGATCTGTTGAATCAGTTTTCTTTTGGACAGGTGGTCGTTGGGATCAATTAGAACAATGGAATTTCTGGCCAGTAGATGTTTATTCTATAATTGGTAGCATTCTTCTTGTTACAATTTTACAGAATATGTTAATTGCAATGATGACGTAAGTATCGAGTTAAAGTTTTATATATATATATATATATATATATATTAATTAAATCAAATTTTTTAATTATTTTAGTGGTGCGTATGATGACGCGAAAGCAGTTGGTAAATATGCAGTATTAAAATATCGAGCAGAATTGATTGCAGATTATGAAACGATTGATACTCCATTCGGAAGGGAGAAAGAAAATCCTCGATATATTTATTTCTTTGGAAATTCTGATTATATTCAAGAATGGTTAGAAAATTCTGAGAAAGCTAGGAATAGTCATAATAATTTCCTGGCAGAAATTGATATCGGAGATATTATTCCATGGAATTATGATGATGATGAGAATGAAGATGACAACAATGATAAGTTATCTCAAGATATATCAGATTCACCAAAAAAATGGCTCGTTGACGAAGACTATAAAAGTGAAAATGAATTATCAAATAATAAACTTTCAATTATTCAAAAAGATAATGTTAAAAATGAAGTTAAAATATTACAAGATAAAATTCAATCTATGGATGGTAAATTACATTCTATGGAAGAAAATATCAAAAATTTAATTTCTTTATTACAAAATCAGCAGAAATAACAATATTAATATCAACAGAATAAGCATATTTTTATATATTTTATATTTATTTATGTTGACTGCCGATCGTATTAAAATAATATTAAATGTATTATGTAATTATTTATTTATTTTTTTTATTTCTAAAGATGTATTATGTAATTAGCAAACAAATGCTATGCAAAATAATTGCAAATGTATCGTTATACGATCACGTGCTTTTTCTTATACCAATCAGATGCTATTTTCTTGTACGATCAGATCGTATGCAAAAATTACCGCGATAATGTTAAAATCAAATTTTGTTCTCTTATCTGTTAATATTTATTTATTTTTACAATATTTTATCAAGTTTACAATATATAATAATGTTTTGATATAAAATATTAAAATAAAAAATTAATTTTATATATAGTATACTTAATTGTCAGTAATTGTATTACGACATTATAATAAAGAAGTGCGCGTTACTAACAAAAAAAAAAAAAAAAAAAAAAANTCCAAACCTGTCTCTTATACACATCTAGATGTGTATAAGAGACAGATATACTACAGTATATATATACTGTATTCATAAATATTAAAAAAAAAAAAAATTTATATATAGTATACTATATATATATTCATAAATATTAAAAAAAATAAAATAAAATAAAATAAGTACTGTTACTACTGTATTATTTTTCATTAAGTATAAGTCTATAAGCAAATACATATTGATCGGATTAATAATGACTAAATTATGGTATTTTTTATAATTTTTAACTTATTATTATGCTTGTTATATAAATCATAGAATTTTTGCAACAAGCATTTTCATATTCCCAAGAAATTCTGAAAAATATGAAGTATACTAAGAGTTGTTTATTATAACTGTAAGTACAGAATAATGTTTAATTTATATTACATTAATATATACTAATGTTCAGCATAATTTGGCAAAATAAAAGTGTCCACATACTTTTGATCGCCCTCTGTATAATAAAGTTTATAGCAATATATTTTATAAAATTAAATATTTCAAATAAATACTAATATTTTACAAAAGTGATATAAAGTTAAACATATAGCATTAGCATTTTTACTAAAATAAATAACAAAATTTTGCAAGTTGATATGAAAATAGTTTTGTAAGATTTTATACTAGTTAGGATTTTGTGCTAGTCAGGATTTTCCTATTCCAGCATTAACATGTTATTTCATTATTTTTTTTCTTTTACAAGAATATAGAGTATAGACACAAAAAGAATTTTTTTGTAAGATATTATTAATAAATAGACTTAGTGTTTGGAATTGAATATATTCGAATATACTTGAGTATTCATTTAAATTTATGAAGTGTATTCGAATAATATTCGAATAAGTTAAATTTCCTTTTATAGTAATGATTTACATAATTTTTAGTCTGAATTATGATTTTAACTCAGTTAAATTTAAGGATTTAATGCCCAATTAGAATTTTAACTATACTATATCTGGCTAAATGAATACTCAAATAACCACTATGCTTATTTGAATACTCGAATATACTTGAGTTATTCGAATAACTGTTACATGATTCCAAACACTAATTTGCTATCATTTGAAACATCTCAATGAGATGAATACAATGAGCTAAAGATCATGAAAATCCAATCATTAGATCAAAAAATATTCATACAGAAATATTTAAATGTTTAAAGCATAATTGTACACTTAATATTAATTATGTAGAGATAATATTACTATCAATTCAAATCCTCTCAATGAAACGAATCAAATGAATGTAAAATTATGAAATTTCAATCACTAGATACCCAAATATCTTTAAATGTCCATATAATATTGATCGCCTACTGTATATAATATTAATTAATTAATTTGCAATGTTAAAGCAATATAAAATGAAAATAATTAATACACAAACCTAAATCATTAGTAAGAAAATTACAATAAAAGGTTGTGTGTGATTTCACAGAAAAAATCCATCAATAAGTGGTTTCTCTATCATTAATAATTGTTATTATTTTTTTTTTCTCTATTAACTAAGGTATTTTTGTTAGTTTTTTTTTACTATAAATAATACATTCAATTTGAAATTCAACATTCTGTTATTCTTTTGTAACTTCTAAATTATCATATAAACACTAATATGACTTTTACCAACTAAAATATTTCAACCCATTTTTCTTAATAATATTAACTCTTTTTTGTTTTTTAATTTAAAGTGTAATATCTCCACTTTGGTCAAATAAAATTAACTTTTTTATTAATTAAATGTTGTTTAGATAAATTAAAACTACTTGAATATGATTATTGTAGGTATAGTACTTAGAAAAAATTTGTTTTTTAATTTAGAGTATAATATTTTCACTTTGGATAAAATCAATTTTATTTATTAATTGAAAGTTGTACAGATGGGTTAAAACTACTTAAATATTAATTTTATAAGATTTCATTTTTTTGCATATAACTGTATTAACTTTGGAATACTTATATCATATTATTATTTTAAATAATAAAATTAAATTTATATAATTTATATTATTGATTAATTATAATCACATGATACTAGGTTCTTACTTTTACATATTTGTTTTTTAACTTCAAATTATAATTTCATCACTTTAGCCAAATGAAATCAACTTTTTATAAAAATAAGACTATTTAAATATTAATTTTCATAAGTGTAACTGTGTAAGTGTAGTATTTAGAAAAAATTGCAATTTTTCTTAATAATATTAATTCTCTTCTTTGTTTTTTATTTTAAAGCATAATATCTCACTTTGGTCAAATATAATTAACTTTTTTTATTAATTGAAAGTTATTCAGCAGGATTGAAACTACTTAATTCGCAATTCATGAGAAATGGAAAGAAATTTATTAATAGTCAGCGGGCAAACTTTAAAAATGTTATATCTTTCCACTTATCCATCCAAATTATGCAGTTTTTTTATATCATTGGATATGTTGAGTTAAGAGCTTTTAAACAAGCCTAAAATCACACGTCGAATGACCAAAAACAGGCAAAAAAAATGGCTAGAATTGCATAAACTATTCACAAATTTATATAAACTATTTACAAATAGTATAGGTTAATTCGCAAATAGCCAAAAATAGCTAAGAATAGCCAAGAATAGCCAAGAATAGCCAAGAATAGCCACTGCTTTTCGCGCCATTTTTTTGCCGATTTTTAGCATTTTAACCTGTGAATCACATAAATCCAATCACTAAAAGCCAAAATATTACATTTCAAAGATTTTATTCTGAAATTTTATTGCATTTTCATAGTATTTTATGGTAATCCTAAGCCAGAATTTGAATTTTAACCTATTTTAACTAACATTTCGAATTTTAAAAAGTTTTAACCAAATCCTTGCATTATTGACCATATTCAAATTTAAAATCATTAAATTATTCCTAAAATTGCAAATTTTAAATGAAAGTTGAGATCATAAAATTTGAATTTTATATATAAAATGATCGCCACATTTTTACTATGAATTTGCTATGAATTGCAATTTCAGCTCTCATTTAGAATTTGCAATTTTAGGAATAATTCAATGATTTAAATTTGAATATGGTCAATAATGCAAGGATTTGGTTAAAACTTTTTAAAATTCAAAACATTAGTCAAAATACGTCAAAATTCAAATTCTGGCTCAGAATTATCATAAAATACTATGAAAATGCAATAAAAATTTCAGGATGAAATCTTTAAAATGCAATATCTTGGCTTCTAGTGATCTGATTTATGCGATTTTAGGCTTGTTTAAAAGCTCTTAACTCAACTTATCCAATAATGTAAAAAAACTGCATAATTTAAATGGGTAAGTGAAAAGATATAACATTTTTAAAGTTTACCCCACTGACCATTAATAATTTCTTTCCATTTCTTACAAATTGCGAATTAAATATTAATTTTTATGAATATAGATGTATTAATATTTAAAAAAATTACATTTTCTTAATGATATTAATTTCTTTTTTGTTTTTTTAATTTAAATTTCCACTTTGGTCAAATAAAATCAACTTTCTTTATTAATTGAATATTATTCAGACAGATTGAAATTATGTGAATATTAATTTTTATGATTGTAGATATAATATTTAAAAAAAATTGCATTTTTTTTGATAATATTAATTCTCTTTACTATTCTTTAATTTAAAGTATAATATTTTCACTTAGCCAAATGAAATCAATTTTATTTATTAATTAAAAGTTGTTCAGATAAGTTGAAACTACTTGAATATTAATTTTTATAAGATTTTATTTTTTTGTAATTGTATTAATTTTGAAATACTTATCATATTTTAAAAAAATTTTGCAAAAAAAAAAGTTTTAGTGGTTAAATTCTTTTATTTATAAATATATTTTTTTCAATAATAATATAATGAAAATTTCTTAAAATACACTAGTGTGTGAAACATGGGTCACGTGACTTTAATTTGTCACCCATGTCACACCCTTCTGGTTTTCCATTTTTACTATTTATTCTAGGGACTTGAATTTTTTCAGTAAGAAAAACCTTATTTGTCACATATTATATGTCGCGCCCTGTAATTTCGGCCAAATTTATAATTCCAGCCAAAATTTACCTGAATTTCCATTTTTGGAACCTGTAGTAATGTTACACAACCCAAAAAAAGGCAATTTTGATTCTCAGTAAAAATGAAAATTTGAGCACTTTTTTAACTACTTATTAATTTATTATATTATTAAAAAATAATATTATATTAGACTATTTCTATTTGTACACTAGTGTGCAAAACACGGATCACATGTTTATCATACTTTCCAGTGATCTATATAAAAATTTCCTTTTTTGGAATTTTGTATAACAATTTTCAGTTTATGCTTGATAATCATATAAAGTAAATGGAATGCTTAATTTTGAAGGGTGCTTAATATTGGAAAAATATGGTATTATAACTTATTTATTATTATTTTAAATGATAAAAGTTAATTTATATTATTANTATTATTAAAAAATAATATTATATTAGACTATTTCTATTTGTACACTAGTGTGCAAAACACGGATCACATGTTTATCAGTTATATAAAAGTACAGGAGTGTCTGCTAAGTGTATAACTAATCTATTAAAACTCTGAACCAGTTCCCCATCCTATAGATTGCTCCTGTGCCCTACCATCACCAATATAAAATTTACCTATATCCTCCCATAGTAGCTATCAGATTATATAGGATCATTATTATCATATAGCACAGATCGAAATGCTAAAAATTGGCAAAAAAAAAGGTGCAAAAAGCAGTGGCTATTCTTGGTTATTCTTGGCTATTCTTGGCTGTTTTTGGCTATTTGCAAATTAACCTATACTATTTGTAAATAGTTTATATAAATTTGCGAATAGTTTATGCAATTCTAGCCATTTTTTTTGCCTGTTTTTGGTCATTTGACGTGTGTAGCTTCAGTATGTTTATTTTTATATTTGATTTAATAATTTAACAAAATATTAATATTTAAAATTAAATTTATATAAATACAACTAGTATTAATAATTGTAATTTAAGCAGTAAATTTATTGACCAAATCATATAAATTTTATATAAATTCTATAATCAAATCAATATTAAATTAGGACCCTAGAAAATATATAAATAAATAAGATTTCAAGTTGCTTAAAATTTGTCAAAAAAATTGTGTAAATCTTTCCTTTTTAGATAATACCAGCTAGAAATTTAATTTTTTAATTTAAAAACTGGCTAGTATTATTATAGTTTTGGCTCTAAAAAAATGCTTAGAATTTATAGTAAAATTTTTTCAGCCAAATCTTATCTATTTATGTATTTTTTGGGATCCTATTAAATTATACAAATAATGCATTTTTATAATTTGAAATTATGCATTTTTCTGTATCTTTATATAAATTAGATATATTATTTTTAAGAAAAATTTGTATAAAACCTTATTAAAAATATGATTTTTTATAGGATTTAATTATAATAAATTTTATATTCAGTAATATTTAAAGCTTTCTACTATATTTCATGTTTACTTTAAAATTTAATAATTTTATTTATTTTAATATATTATATTGGGTATTGCTAAATATCACCAGTGGTGATCGTCATCATCGCATATGTAAAATATTTTTTGAATTTTCAAAAATTTTTGATTGTAATATTATACTAATTATAATATAAATATTATTACTATATATAAATTTATAGGTAGAAAAAGTTTGCCTTAAATTATAAAGGCTGTTGTTTAGATAGTTTTTGAGAAAAATAGGAAAGTTTAATTTTATAAGCAAAATATAATTTTTTGTTTTAAAAAAGATTTTTTTTAGTCAAATTTTCAAAATTTTAGTGTGATTAGCATCTATTCAGGTTTATTTTACACATTTATTATTTAAATTGAAATTTTTGAAAAAAAATTTACGATGTGTTTTTTAACTCTGGCCAAAATTATAATTTTTGGCCAGAATTAAGTGGTATGGTGACGATCACCACTAGTGATATTTAGCAATACCCTATTATATTTATAGATTAAAATTGGACATAAATTTTATAGAAATAACTCAAAATTTGCAAACAAAAATTATAATAATCTTTAATGATATATATAAAAAATGTAATTATGTTTACAATGCAATAAATTATTAATGCGATTTCAAAAATTAGATTAGTAGTAATAAAGATATTGATAAATTTATTTAAGATATTCAGTTATTAGTTTATAATATAGAAAATATATATTGTATTAAAGTAAATATCATAATAAATTTATAAATATTAAATAAGTATATAGTGAAAGAAAAGTTTGGTAAAATATGTAAAATAAATTAAATTGATAGTTATATTTAATATTGGAATGCAAAAAATAAAATTAAAGAAGAAAATATAATTAAAATATATCTGTAACTTTAAAAAGTTTAAATAATTCAAGAAATATTGCATTATAATTTATAAATAAGATATAATTTTGTTTAAAGAAGATAATATATTAATAAAATAAAGATTTAAAATTTTTTTCTTTTATATTATAAATTATACAATACTATAAACTAAATAATTCTTATAATATAATTAAATTTTACAGAATTACTTGATTATACAAAGAATTATATAATATTGTATTTGGGCTTAATAATATTTATTATATTTATTTTTATAAATTAATCCATTAATATACTATTGCATAAAAATAAAATTTGTATAATAACTGATATGAAATTATATAAACCTGTAGATTTTATTCATTTTATGCATTTTTATAGACTGCATTACACCAAATTTTCTTATTTATATTTTATATTTACTATTAGTAATTAAAGATAGTTGATTTTAATTATTATAATTATTGTATAGTATAAAAAATTAAATATTTAAAGCATTAGTATTATGTTCTAAGCTAGCAATTAATTCTAAATTATTTGTAACTATTTTATTTTATAAATTAATATATAATAAAATAAATTACATAGATTTTACATTATTAATATTATAATTTAATTCAAAAATAAATGCATTATAATAATCTTAAAGTAAAAATCAATCACAATATTTAAATTCTTTTGTAAAATTTTTTCTTTTTATTTATAAAGTACAATTTGAATAATTAATTTTAGTATATATTTTATTTATTAATCTCAAAATTATAGTTTTAAATAAGGACACTGTCAGATATTACTTAATATCACTTTAATATAAGAGCTTACTCCCCCTTTCCTAGGTAAAATATGTTATATATAATTCCTTATATAATATTATATGTAACCTAAGATCTTTATTTACCTCCTCTCCCCCTAAAATATTAGGTAATATTTGACAGCATTCTAATTACTGATATATAATTATATTTATTTTTTAGTGTATTATTTTTCTATAAAAAAATTTCTGAAAAAAATTCCAATAAATGTTCATTTTTCTAATTTGTTATTTGTATTCTGACATATAATTAATTTTCTAAAAATATTTTATAAGGTTTTAATTTTTTGAAATCTCACCAAATCTCATTTTTAAATTTTAACTCCATTTTATAATAAATAGTTTTCACTGATTATACCAAACTTGTATATACTAAAAATTTGTTATACTAAAAATTAAGATTTTTAAAACCAATTTTTTATAATTAATTATACTAGTTATAACAGATTTTTCAATGAAATGTTATATACCAACTGTATATCAAACCTACCTTAACAGTCTATATATTTTGAATAATAAACAGTTATGTGACTAAATAGTAATTTAATTCTGGCCAACATTACATATTTGGCCTGAATTACTAAGCTGAAAAACTAAGTTCAATATATTATATTAAACTAAACCTTTCAAAACAAAGAGTTTATTATATCCAGTAGTAACTGTACTCAATTATATTTAATCAGTTATGTAGCAGTCACAACAGCTGCTTCATTAATTTATACTAATTTAAATTTATTTACTAATAATTATAATCACAGACAATCCTAATATAACATAATTTTTTTATTATCTATTATGAACCTTAGTAAATTTTATTTTTTAGGTCTTTAATATATTTTTATAATAATAAATTGTAATACTTGCAATATTAATTTATTCTTTAACTGATTTTTTTTGCACTAATTCTAAAACTCTTAAAAACATTTTTTTTCTCATTGACAATAATGATTTTAATAGGTTCTCCAATATGTTTTATCTCTTTAATAAACCTATTCAACCATATATGCACTTCTAAACAGAATAGACTTTTCATAGATAGATAGTGTTCTTTCAACTTCCTTAAATACAAATTCACCAAATGAATTTAAATTATTATTATCTTCCCAATTCTTTATGGATTCAAAGTACTCATTCTTTCTTTTGACATCAAAACTAAGTACACTATATCCAGATTGCATGGAAAAAAGACAACACAAAAGTCTTACCATCCTTCCATTACCATCTTCAAATGGATGAATTCGAACAAATCTTGCATGAAAATTTACAATCATATCTAAGGGGTGATCATTAGTAGACTGTACCCATTTTATTAGTTGATCCATTAAGGTAGGTATTTCAAGAGGATGAGCTGTTAGTACTTTTCTTCTCTTGATTCTCACAAAACCTTCACGAAATTTTCCTCCTATATCAGGTCTGTTCAGCATAACGTACTTATGCATATTAAGAATATCTTCTATAATGAAATTATCACGAGGTTTGGTTACAATTTTTAGAAGTTCCTGATATGCATGTTGATGACCAATAGCATCTATTATATTTCCTGGTATAGCTTTTATAGGTTCATTTGATAAAAGAACAAGTTCGGTTTCCTGTAAACTAAGAGCTGATCCTTCAATAGCATTTGAAGAATAATTCAAATATATTCCAAGCTTATTGCTAACATTATTTACTATATCTTTGCTAAGAGGACAGTTTTTGTCTATCTTATTTTTCATAATATCTACTCTCTCTCTTAGCTCTTGTGATGATTTGAAGGTTACATCAAAAGCTTTAGATTCTCTTAAAAATATATTTCCACTACGAATATCTTCATCAGATATGCTTGAGTATAATTGTTTGATTCTATTGTCAACCCATTCTTTACAATCTTCATCATCAGCAAGTAATTCCATAAGTATTTCACCAGATCTGGCAACGTTTTTTTGTCTCTCCATCCTTACTTGCCGTCTTCTGGCCCATACGAAGATTGAAAGAACAGTAATAATACATGTAAATATAATCATCCTTCCAATAATTGAAAATCTAATGATGTTTAACTTTTAATGATCTATATAAAATTTCACAAGGTTGAGAGAATAAATCCAATAAATCTGACAATAATTAATAGTATTGAAGAAAGAAATTCAAACGTAATATTAAAAAGAAATTAAAAGAATTTGTAATATTAAAAGAATTAACAAATAAAAGAAATATGATATATGAGATTATTAAAAGAAAATGAGAATAAAATGTTTAAGACAAAATTATAAAAATGAGCAAAATGAGCAAAATTCGTATTAATAAAGAAATATGAGTTGGATTTATACTTAAAAAATTATGTATCATTTATATCATTTGAAGTAATTTATCATTTGAAGTCATTCAGGTTATTATTTTAATTTTTTAAAAACCTTTCCGAATTCATCATGATTAGTAATAAAATAGACTCTTGATCAGTGGCTTTGAAAAATTGATGTGATTAATATGATTAATTGTTAAAAAAGATGAATTACTGTTACGCAATTTTTCGGTCGTACGATTGACCGTATTTTATGGGACCAACTTAATGTATAATTTTGATTATGTGACTTGGACACAATCATTTCCAATTCTAATAAATATTGCTAGATGGTATTCATATTGTGTACTGTATATACCGTAAAACGCGTTTTTTACGCGTTTTTATTGATCTTCGTTTCTATTTATTTATTCCTTCAATTCTTCCGCTTTTGATTACCATGCTCAGCTTTTATTGACAAGATAATCTGGCACAGATTTTGAACAAAATTATTCTACCACGACCTAAAGAAATTTTCGGAGTAATTTTATGACACATGACACTATATGGAAAATAAAGAGGTACAACTATGCTGAAGTTTATCCAGTCCTTGGCGGTGAAGTTATGAGTCAGAGGGTATCCTAGTTATTTCTTGGTGGTCATCAGCCTCTTATTGTTTCAAGAAAAACATTATCAAGAATACATTGTTAATATGACACATCACACAAGATTAAAATTTAGAAATCGTGAAACTTTATTACTAATTTATAGATGCATACATAGTACATCTCTTTGCTTCAAAAATCTACAGCTAATTTATTTCAAATATTTGCAAACTACGTCACATCCTATATTCTTTTTTCATTTTATAAACAATATTTTCGAATATCCGTATCACTCAACAACACAGATCATGTGAAAAAATTATATTTTGCAAGAGGACTTTTCTGAGACGGATTTTACATCTATAATTATGGGTAGCGCAACAACTATTGCATATCAAAGAATTTTTCAATCAATTTTTGATCTTATACTTGAATTAACTAGGTCACCAATAGGGATGGTAATATCATGTTATATATATTTAGGGGTATATACCATTTATATATGTTATTTATAATTTTTAAGATTTAATAGCAAATTTAAAATGAAATTAAAGATTTTATTGGTTTTATTGATTATTTACATTTATTTATTCGTCATCATCTATTTCATCTTCTTCATCTGAACTTATCATAATAAAATCTTCTTCATCTATTTCATTTTGCGTATCTTGTTGATGAACTATTTTAGGTTTTTGTAATGTTTATAATATGAATAAGCTGATACTAGTTTGAAAACACGCTCATTAGTCAATCTATTTCTTTTAAGATTATGAATAAAACCAAAATGGGACCAATTTCTTTCAGCTGCAGCAGAAGAAGCGGGAATTGACATTAATTTACTTGCTATTGCACCTATAACTGGTCTTTCTGTTCGCAAAACTGCCCACCAAATATTAGGATCTCCAACTGCTTCATCAGACCATAAATGTTCACATTCAAATGGCCCTGATTTATTATGATATTGGAGTAATTCTTGAGTTAATTGTCCGCGAGATTCTGCATTAACAAGTTTAGATGTTTCTTCCAAAATATATGACATTGTGGTATGATTTTGTGGAAGAAATTGTCCGCGGTATCTAGGATCAAAATAATAAGCTAATGTAATGGCAGGATCATATAATTTATCCCATCATTTGGTAAATTCTTGGTATGCTTCATTTTTAACTGGAATATTACTTGCTAAAATATTCCTACCAAGAATCGAAAAACTTTATACCAGAAAAAAGCAGATTAGTAAATATAGATGCCAAAAATATTTTATTTTTATAATTAAATAATCATACCTGTGAAATACTGAAGATAAGTTCGGTTGATCATTTTCAAAAGTTTTATACATAACCGTAAAATGATTTAAAAATTCACATAATTGTTCAAAAAGTAGTTGTATCAACTAATTTAGAAGCAAGTGATTGTTCCAAAGATCTTTGAACTGGTTCTTCAAAAACGATAATCTAAATTATTTCATGAGTAATTATTAATTTGTACATTAAAATCTAAGCGTAAGTTGAAGTTTTTAAATACCTGTAAAGCTTTCATACTTTGTATAAATGAAGTCTAATTTCTTTTCCCAGTTTTTCTTTTTGTAGTCAAACCAGACATGCACTTTCTACATGATGATTTTTGAAAAATTTTACAATTTCTTTTACAGAAGTAATAATACTTGCACACCATGGTATTCCAATTATATTTTTTACTAGAAGATTAATATTATGCGCAAAGCATCCTATAATAGATAATTATTAAAAAAGGTTTTATATTTATGTAATTAAATTTACCAAAAATTAACTATATACTTACCTAAGAAAAAATATTTGGATATTTTGCTTTGAGTATATTATGTGCAGCTTTCATGTTTGATGCATTGTCCATTAGAACTGCAGCTACTTTATCAACTCCAACTTCATTAATTACAATATCAAACTGTTCTGCAATAAAAGTACCAGTATGACGCTTTTTTTTAGTTTTCATTGTTTTCCAAAATACTGGTTTGAGTTGTGATCATAAAATTAATAATTGGTTCATATCATGAATTAGTCTATCCATCACTTACAGACCAAGTTTGTTTTTTTAACATATTGATTAACATTTTCAGTTACATCTTTATAAGTGTTATTTAGTAAATCATTTGATAATTTATTATGGAATGGAAGTTCATAAACTGGTCTACTTTTTACAGAAAGCTATAAAATATTTATCTTTAACTAAAGAAAGAGGTAAATCACCAGCAAAGATTGCATATGCTAAATATTGATCAATTTTTTTTACTTTTCACTATTACATTTATCAGTATAATTATCAATATTTGTTTAAGTTTTTTACTTTTTATTTAATTGGTTATTTAATTTTTGAAGTAATTTATTTTATATATCTTGTATAAGCGGTTGTAACAATGGTAAAGGCAGTATTAGCCAGTGATTCAAATGACCTCAAATAACTCAAATGACTGGTCACATGTTATTTAGGTTATTTCAACATTAAATAACAAATGATCTAGTCATTTAAAAATTACATCATAATTCTGGTCAAAACTATTCATACAATTTTACTATTAAATTTTTACATGATATTATAATTCTGGCCAGCATCATTAACTTGGCCTGAATTATAAGGTATTAAAATATTTTAAATGACTCAAATGACAAATGATCCAAATGACTAGGTCATTCAAAGGTCATTTGGGGTCATCTTAAAATGGAAAAATGATTTAGTTATTTGCCATTATTAGGTAAAGATACAATAGTTGTATTATTAAAAAAAAATAATTCTGTTTTAACATATTCTGGTACATTTTTACAATATTCTAACAAATGTTTAATCATTTTTTGTAGTTGGCCATCTATAACAAAAGGAGGATTACAAAATTTACAAGTTGCAATATAATGTTATTTTCTATTTTTCTTTCTTTAGATGTATAAAAAAATTTTCAAATGGGATTTTTAAAATGTGGCATTTTGAAAAAAAAAATGCAAATTGGCAAATCGCATACATATATAGTTCTTATTGTTTCACATAATATAGTTACATATTAAGCTGAAAACAAATAAAATAATTCTGACCAATTTTATGAGATTAGTACTGGCTGACATTATTATTATATATTGTTATAAACTATTATATATTATTCTTTGGTATATAACATGGTATATATTGGAATGGTATATACCCTCCTATCCAGTATTGGGCAATTAGACAATTGGACGTTTTGGACATTTGTCCAAAACCTGTCCAAAACTTGTCCAAAACCAAAACCTTTTTTTCATTGGATAGGTTTTGGACAGATCACATGACAAAAAATTTAATTTTGGCCAGAATTATGACTAATTTTGGCTAATTTTAATTCTAGTTCAATTATTAAATTACTTCAAAAATCTTTAAATATTAATTTTTAATATTATTTGATTTTACATTAATTTTTATCATTTAATTAATATTAAATATTTACTTTTTTAACATATTTTTATTTTATTTTTAGTTTCAGTTGATGAATATTAGGACTCTTGAGCAGTTTTAAACTGTCNCATTAATTTTTATCATTTAATTAATATTAAATATTTACTTTTTTAACATTTTAACATTATATTTTTATTTTATTTTTAGTTTCAGTTGATGAATATTAGAACTCTTGAGCAGTTTTAAACTGTCTAAAACTATATCCAAAACTATGTCCAAAACTGGTTTTAGACAGTCCAAAATTGTTCAATTAAAAAAACCAATTGGACAAGTCCAAAACCCAACACTGCTCTTATCCCTAGTCACCAATTCAATTTAAACATATTTATAAAACATTGGGAATGTATAATTGCAGACTTTAATTTTATACAAGCAAAAGGTTTTAGATTAGCATTAAATAAAATAGATTTAACAAAAAATGCTTGATTCATATTTTAAAGTCTTATCAAATACACTATAAAAGATAATATTATACAATTTATTTTATTTTTAAATAATATTTAGTAATTATTTATTATATTTTATTATAAAAAATTCAGGAAAAAAAATATGAAAAAGCAGTAGTAGATGAAATAAACGCACTTATTACAGCTAAGTCCAAAAATAAAATTGATTTATTATTTGATAAGATTTAAACAACTGAAGAAAATACATTTGGTTTGTAAATTTTTGTAGTTTTTAATATAATTTTATAATAATATTATTAATTAATTTTTTTTTATTAAATTGAATTTTATTTTATTGGCAAAAGTGGGTGATCAGATCTTTAAATAAGAATATGTTAAAGATAGATAATGAGATTTAGATAAAT